ATGACAGGCAGGAAAATGCCCATTCTTCTAATGTGCAACTCTAATAGATAAAAGTATTGTTTGCGATAATTAAGCATCATTATTTTTGGTGAACATTTTGCGCTTATAATTATTTCACACTCTCATATATTTCCCACAAATTCTTGCCTTATCATTAAATTCTTTATGAAGTTAAGTTTATGGAGATGAATGCAAATTTAAGAAAGGAAAGTTTTAGTTCACTAAGAAATTATCAGTTTGTAGTCAGACATAACGAACCATTAACAATTCGTATTGTGCAAAAGTTTTAGCATTTAGAGTAGTTTGCTGATTGTACAATTAATTTGTTTTTATTTCTCAAGAACAGGATCTGTTATTTAATTTTCTATTATTCATTGTGTGAAGAAAGCATTTTTATCCTACTCTTCAGTTAACATTTGATAAGAATTTGGCGTCCTTAAATTTTTTTTTTTCAGATTTGGAAAGTAAACTAAAGCTATTTATTGGGTTTTTTCATCTTATTTTTATTATCAAAAACACTTCAAGTGACCTACATATGTCCTGCTGTTTAAAAACATGTTGAAAAATCGAGCACGGACTCTGAAATAGAATATAAATATTTACAGTACGAAAAAACATAGACAATTTGATTGCCATAACAGAAACAAACATCGCACTATATACTGTAATGAATATACATCGAAATAATTGAAGCAAGGAAAATTAGAATATTTGGGAAATTTTCAGTGAGTTTCTTTCACATATAATGAAATCACTGAGAGAGATATAAAATTCTTCTCAAAATGAAAGAAATGGAAAAAAAAAAACAATATACTCTCAAATGAAATTTAAAGCTAAACTGCTTTTGGCTCACAATAAGCTATTAAATTCACAGTGGTGTTGGGCAAGGTTTACTTTATTTCACTCTTATTTCAACAAATTAATTAGTAAGATTTGATGACCATAACATTAAATTGAAATGTTGTTGTGGTCTATTTTAGCTTTGTGTCAACTAAAAGTAGCATACAAAAATTGATTATCGGTTGAGCTTTAGACGACCAAGTACTACACGCCAGAAACGTAACATTTTCAATGTTCGTATAACAAATTTATTTCACTGAGTTGTAATGCAATTTTAAATGAAAGGAAGAAGTCAAATTTTCGTAATCGTTGGTTGCTCAGTATATTTCACCAGTCCTTAAATAATTCGAAATTTGATTGAATTTATACATATGTCGACCATGGGTAGCACATATGAGTTAAACTGTGCAACAGAAAGTTAGACATAAGCGAATGGGAGAACTAGGTTGACCATGAAGATAGTGAAGGAGAAAGTAATACAGGTTTAATCAATCAAACGTTTGTCCACTATTCAGCGATATTTGTGGAATATTCATTATATATAATTAGATGAAATTTTATGAGTGAATCACTGCTTTTTATCATTGAACTAATCTGATGGAGATTTTCCTGAATAACACTTTATATTTCTCTAGAATAACCATGCAAATTTTATTTTAATCTTGTTGAGCTTTATTTCTGACAGCTTACCTTCAACACAGTCGTTCTCCTTTTTTAAATGCAGGTATGTAAAATATATTGTAGTCAAAGGTGAAGGAGAAAAAAACTGATTTTAAACGAATCCGCGATCGAAAAATTGTTCAGGAAAATTTTGAAGACTTCATTTACTAAGCAAGATGAAAGAATAATCTCCTGAATCAAACGGTATAAGATAAAATTTTCTGGATGTAACAACCGCTCCTCATGGAAACAGTGATGCTTGCAGCTTGTTGTTGCACAAACAAACCACATTATAATATTTCTTTCTTGTCACAGTAAAGGGCGGGACAGAGAAGAGTGGACTGTAAAGTTGTCATTGCTCGCGGAAATCTTGTATTAGTGGAGACCGAATATAGTTGTGACAATATTGCTTTCCGGTTCGGTGTATAACTTAAAAGATGGCTCGAAAAGTTATTTCTTACGTTGTTTCCTTCGCAATTATTTTAACTTGTAACAGATTTTTGTGCAAAATGAGATGATAAAGAAAGAGTGGATTAGTAAAATGTAATGAAAAAGTTATAAAAATATCATAGTTTCGATGAGAATACAAACTGTAAAAAGAAAGCATTCATGACGACAAATAAGAATAAGAATGCGGAACATTTGTAGAAAAGCAAAATCGTCGGATCATTGACGCAACGCGAATTACTTGGTGGTGATCGAGCAATAGTGTGAAAATGATAGCTATTAATTTTTCTTACCTTTTGTGTTATTTTATTTCACTGACTTATGTTATCATACATCATTAAGGTATTGAAATCTTTGAATGGGAAGAAAATTCCTGTCAGCTGCCAGAATTTAGATTCATTATTTGCGACGATAATTTTAGCCATTAGACCAGTGCTTACTATTAAAAGATAAATAATTAATAAAGCATGTTTGTCTCTGTCACCACTTTGACAAATTTATTTGAATTTTAAACAATTTCTAAAGCTTTTCCAACTTCAGCTCTATTTTCTTAAAGTCGGTATAGTCATCATGGATCTGTGGATTAAAATATCTCAGAAAAAAAAAAAAGAAATTGATGATAACTACTGGCAGAAAACTAAACAATGAACAAAGCGGTTTTGTTAGAAAAACTGGAAAAAATATTATTCATTTTCTAATGAGACAGAAAAGAGTCGATAGATGTCCACCGACGCTGCTCTCAATAACATGTTTAATACTTCTGAACACTTGTGTATTTTTCAGTATACATAAAGAATGCTTCAAAGGAATCATAAGGTAAAGTTAAGCACAACAGGATGACCATCCAATTGCAGTCATGTTTGGATGGCATAACACGTCAAACCAGATTGGCTCATGTTAATTATGATTACAATTTATGAAGCTAATCAATGATGGTTGAATCAGATGTTATGTGAAGGTGATTTTATGAATTAAATATATTGAAGTTGCTTGAAAAAGAATCTGGAAAATTATTGTAATGGAAGTAAAAGAAGTAGGCAAAATTATCTAGCAGTGAGGGAAAGAAATTCTCTAATAATTAACGAGTAATTTACTGGAAAAATCCCCTAGTGTTCAAATTAATCATTTAGTAGTGCATTTTTGTTTAAAATTGAACGATAAGACATGATTTGAATGATTTGACAAGTTCTCTCCAAAATGAACATCTGTCAAATATGAATGGTTCCTTTGATATAAGAACAAGTAGTAAGAGTAAAGATTTACTGAATGAAAGAAAAAAGAGATAAAAGTAACAGTGGTATTTCGACTGAGTGAGTTTAAAATAGTGGTAAAATAACCATTCGAAAAGCGATCAGAACGAGTGAATTACAAGACGAAAAGAACTTGAAACAGAGATGTGGAGAGCAAAACATGGTGAAAAAACTTGTTTCACTCCGAAGGATATCAGTTGATCCGTTGTGGAGGGCATGATCACTTCATTGTCGAAGCTTTTATCATATTTTCTTTACTTCTTCTAATTTTTAATTAATTTTCTCAGCAAGTAGCAATCCACTTATTTTGTTCTTTTGTTTCTACAGATTTTCCCTAAACAATCCGACCGGAATATCTGATGAATGAGAAAACACTATGCAAGAAGCATTCCAGAAATTGTGATTCACTTCAGAAAAACTTTCTATTTTTAATTCTGTTACTATAAATCAGTAAAATGATTCAACATCAGTTCGAGAGAAATGAGCCTAATTTACACTTTAACATTAAGTTCTTCAAATTAAAATTTTTTTCTTCCCTAAAAAAACATTTCTAAATTTCATAAAACACCGCTTATACCTTTTAAATTTACACTCAAAGTGCTTATTCACCACTCTTAACCCTTGCTATTATTATTGATCATGAATAATATGAAGCATAAATCAGCAATATCATAAAGTATGGCCTTTAATACCCATACCAGCAATTTCAATTCCGGTTTATTCAAATCCTATTGTGAATGGTTTCTATCAAAATCTCAGTTCTACAGAATCCCGTTTTCCCTAAATGCCCCAAATCCTTATCACATTTTCTGTAATTTTAAACTGTTTTGCCTATCATTCTGATCGGATTCTGATTTGTTCATTTATCATCGAATATTTCTCTTTTAACCGAAAATAGCTTTCGATATTATAAATCAGATAAAGCAAGTGCTATTCCTTTTTTTCCTTCTCTCCTTCTGTCCTATCTGTCTTCAACTTCATACAATGACTATTTCACAAAAAACTCTCACAAAATCGTTTACAAATACTTATATTAACACAATCATAAAACCGAAAATACGAAACTCGACTGCCCATCTGTTTCATAGAGTCAAAAATCAGAAAATGACAGTTGACATCAGGGTCAGAAGGATGCATGAAAGTTTTCTGATTGTAAAATGCATCTCAACCTGGCAGTGATATTCTTTGCATTATTATCAACATACAGTTGCGCCGGAAGAGTGGATGTAATACTTGGCAGACAGCACACGCTCGTGGAACCTTCGGTTATTTACGGTAGGGAATTTTGTTCCTTTGGTAATTTCTACTAGGAAAACTCTTAATAATGAAGCATACTGTATCGAAAAGTTTTATTTAATGAGATGCTTGACTGAAAGTTGCTTCGGAGTCACTGCTTTAATATAATCCCAGAACACGACTGTACTTCGTGATATTATAGTACCAAGATTGCTGAGGGACTCGGTAATATTAAAAGTACCAGGGTTATTGAATGATTCTTTGTTCAGAATATAAGATAATAGTTAAAAGGATATGAAAAACTCAAAAAACAGATCGAAAGCGCTTTTTTAAACAGTGAGTTCAATAATTTTGATATGTAAAACCTGGAAATAATGGTAAATTTAAAATGCATTAATAGAAGGCAGTCATTTTATTGGGAAAAAAACATTCATTGCAAATCATTTTATTTAAGGAAAAAACAAGCTAGATAATAAAGAGCGATCAAACAAATGGCACATAAAGAAGGATAAAGATTACAGTAACTTATAACAAAATTATAATTAAAAAATTCGTAGCTAAAGACTATCAGATTAGGCGATCATGGCTAACAATATATGATTTACCATCGGTAAGAATTTTTAGATCCCTAGATTGTTGAGAAGTCATTTCCACAGATGAAGAGTCATTCATCGACAAGAGACCCAGTCGATCCGAAGGCGAGTTACTGGATTTCAAAATCTGCAAACTTAACAGTCAATATTCTCGAGATTATTTTATGAATTACATTCAACTTATACCGCAGCAGTTGCTGATTAGTCCTAAAATCAAACTGCAGCAGCAAGATGGAAAAGTGGATTAAAGCTATAATTATTCAAATAGTCCTGGGGTACACATCAATGTTATCTATTCACAAACTATCACTTCTCTTTACTGTTTGACTCTTTTAAAATTAAGTTTAAGGTCATGGCCTAATATCGATTGGACAAGGAAAGCATTATAAACAATCTGTTTTGTTCGAAAGAAATGCAAGGCATAAAAATTTTCGAAATAATCATAAAGTTTTTCATACAGTTTCTTTTATAAGCTAGCTATTCCTGCTGAAGTTCTTTACCTTCGCAATGAAATAACGATTTTGTGTAATTTATAAAATTTCCATATTTGAAGGCTATGAATGAGATTTTTCTGCGTAAAACATGTATAGGAATTGAAATAAGCACCTTAATACGTTCTTCTTCCCAGCGTTTCCTTTCGTCAGCAAAAAGACCAATTTGTTCATTGAGTGTATCACGCAAAGTTGACACTTCATCTCTTAGTTCATCGACTTCATTGCGTAATTCACGTTCTGACGACGATTCCTACAGAATTCTTCGCGCTATGACACCAAGTTTTTGCATTTTATTTCAAAACTAATTTCAAATTGAAAAACATTTTTAAATTGAAAAAATAATTTTTAATTGAAAAAAAATAGTCAATTACTATGAATTAGCAGCGTTATAATATAAGCTTAATTTACATTGAATTAGTCAAATGCATGATAAACATATAAGTCTTCCTCAAAAAAAAAAAAAAATTAAAAACCTTGGAATACCGCGGTGCTGGTAGTGGAGGTCTAACACGCTTGTCAGCAATACTGTTGTTAGTATTTGCTGCAGTAATGTAACATGTGATACGCTTGCGACATGGACCGCAAACAGTTTCATCGCGATTTCGAATGAGCTCATCGAAACACTCACGTAGTTGGAAAAATTCACGTTCAAGTTGCAAACACTATAAGAACTAGAAAATTTATTTCCTTGACTTAAGCTACATATTACATAAAACAAGTATGGGAATAAATAATTTAATGATCTCCATGTTTCAAGAGTTATATGTTTTCTTAACATCCAGAAATTATTAAAATTTTTGCCATTTTCTTCTTCCTTTCTAATTTGAAGTATGTTAGCGAACATTTTATAAAATGCAGGACAGTTTATTTGTTCCAAGAACAATGGCGACAAGACTAACTTTGTGTTGTAATCCTTGCTTATCACTGGTAAGATTCTGTATAGTACTCCTGAATTGTTCTCGTTCTTCGTTACATCGTTGAATTTGCTGCCGTAATGCGTTTTCTCCTTGTTGGCTAGCCTAAACATTTATTTTAGAGACAAAAATACTGTTTCAATATAATATGTCGCGAATCTTCTATGAACATCGATCGAAACAAGGACATAACTGAGTTAAATGATTCCTTGTAATAAGAGGAAAACATATATTTGCCTATAATTTATCAACATCAAAAAACAATTACCTGCAACTTTTGCTTAAGGTCAGCAAGTTGCTCTTTCCAAAGTCGCTCCTTTTCTAAATAAACCTTCACTACAACCTCTTCGTTCTGTTCCATTGTCGCTCGTACGTTTGTCAGTTCATTCTCCTTATCTCGAATGATTGTCTGAAGGATATTCTACTTTAAAGTAAATTAATCCATTTATATCCAACACTGACTAACTACGTTGAACTAATGCCATCTTATATTCATATAAAGTTTGCATCAAAAAATTCTATAACTTTTATTAAGTTACTGCATTACGCAATGAGATTTCAGAAAAGGAAAGAGAAACAATCGTGAAATTTAAAAAATTTCGAGAAAATAAAGATGAGTGGAATTGCAAAACTGCCATAAATTTTAAACAATTGAACTGTAAATCAAGTTAAGAACCTATAAATGGTACTCGACGCTAACAACAAAAACATTTCAGATGATATAATGGCAAAGAAACAAAGAATATGATATTTGTTAAATAAATAAATAAATATATATATAAACATTTTTTCTTGAATTTTGAGACAAACGCCCTAAAAGTTCTGTTTATGAAGCAACAATTTTAAAAAATGAAATTAGGTTGGGAAATTTAAATCGCGGTTTTAATTTCCAACAAGATGATTACATTCATAAAACTTTTTTAATTAAGCTGTATAGCAATTTCTATTTATAATTCGAGAGCTTATTCATTGTTCAGATTTGACAAATTCATCCTCTCTCATATACATAAAGCAAGACATAGTTCATTACTTTTAGAAATGAAATGAAATTATGTAACGAAAATTGCGACAAACCTCGTAATCGACAATACCGGAATCACTTGGTGAAGGTGTAACGTGTATTCCTGAGCTATGACGACTACCAGAAGAAGTATTCGAACCGTAAACTTGGTGTGAAGATGGAGACTTCTGCAATGAATGCCGATATTTGTGCACAAAAGCATGACTCTTCTTGATGGAGAACTTGACCTATCACAGTCACATTGCTTAATTCTTACGATCAAAGACAAACTAAATCAGTAAAAATAAAAAATCAAAATTGACTAAAAACAAAATTTCCTGTTAGATCAGTGTTGATCAAGTTAAAAAGTTATAAGCACCGCCGAAAAAAGGCTTATCACTGAATATGAATAATCGAAAAAGTATTCTGCGATTCCAAAACAGTTATAAAAGCCTTTTACGTATTACAACTGCTAATAAAGATAAAATTAAATATGAAACGATTCACTGACTTATTGACAGCTGACTACAACTTACCATCTGGAGTCTCCGCAACGCATTCGGTGAAAAAAAATTTGTTTTTTTTTTTTAAAAAAAAAGATGTAAACAGACCTTGACGAGATTTAGTGATGAAATCCCAGTCGTTACGCTGACTGCTGCATGTTGCTGTATTTTATCATGGCTAATAGTGGTATTACTGCTTGATGTCGCTGATGCAGCAGGAAGTTTCTCGGACAGTGAGTTGTGAAAGTATGGCATCGAACGTACAACTGAATAGTTCTCACCGATTGACGAATCTACTGCAAATTATTTGTTTGAAACAATTAACAATAAAAAATTTTTAAATAGAAATAAAAAGTATCCAATAATTATATATCCCTATTCAGAATTTAGATAATAAGAGTTATGAATCCGAAATCTAAATTTTCAACTGTAAATATATAACCGTTAATGCTTGACACTGGACATACTTTTTAAACTAAATTTTGAAAGATAAATTGTCAAGACTTTAATTTAAAGTATCACCACTTATAAACTAAAAAAAAAAAAAGAAAAAAAACCGACTTTAGGTAAATGAAAAAAAAGTGGATCAAAAGAATTTAAATTGGCTAGTTAATGACTACTATCATGTGCATCAATTTAGAAACAGATCAGTTGCTATGAGTAGCTTATTACCAATTCTAATAAAAAATTTAAATGAATCAGAAAAAAAGAAACAAACAATCGTACGGTATTTTTCATACGACAAAACAAGGAATGTTAGAGGTTATACAGCAGAAACAATAATGATGTAATTTGCACTATTTCTGAAGTGAAGAGCTCAAAAACGGAAAAACCCGAATTTTTAATCAAAATTTCGAGATTGGTTTTAATCAATCCATATCGCAGCCGATTTGTTTCTGGTATAATCTGAAGTTAATCTGCCGAATTAACTAAAAATTCCTAAAGGGAGAATTAAACGACAAATTAACCATTAATGTAGAATTTGTCGCGTTCAATGTATTCTGGCACAACATCATAATCATTTTCCTCAGCCTCAATTTTGTTAGACCTTCTTTGCGTAATCATTGCGGATGTCATTTGGAAGCTGCGATTGTTAAACAAAAAATACTTGAAATCTGATCATTCAGATATTTGAAATAAACTCTGTCAATTTCTGTAAATTCTGCTTACCAAAACCTTTTCCAAGCATTCCTTTTCACATCACATTGCATCTCGAATTTATAAATATAAAACGATCATTTAAAAAAAATCGTATTATTTTAATCAAAGTACTTTTGTTTTTGGTTTTTTGTTTTATTTTTTATAACTATTGTGCTTTAGAATAAAATTTGCAAAGAAGAAAAAAAAAGGAATATGTATCGTACGGAAGTAAAAAAATCTTTAGCACTGATATACAGGACAAAAATGTCACAAGATGCCCTCTCAAAATAGTCAAACCTAGTGGATGGTTGATAGATGGCTCTCGGTCTGGTGCTACCATATCCTGAAGATGGTGCGGAAGAATTTGACACAGTGTCTTTTGAATGCTGTGAAGACCGTTTCAATTCATCATTGCTGTAACATTTCCAGTAAAAATCCGACTTAAAAGACTTATCGTTATAATCATGAAACAGTTATAAAAATAAATCTGATGGAGTGAATCCAAAACAAAAAAAAAGAGGATTGGTATTAAGAATTAAAAATGGATTAATGAATGGTCACCGATCACTGACCGCACGTAAGTAAGTGTTGTATAACTCAATATTTTACGAAGAATCTATTAACCAGTATACAAAACTGTTTGCATTTTAATACTAACAAGAACCGCAAAAAAAAAAAAAAAAAGAAAAACCCTTGAAAACTCAAGAAATCTTTCAAACTTACTTTGATAATCGTTTTGTTAAATAATCACTCTTTTTGTCGCTATTATAAAAAGAAAATGATGACGAGATAACTGTTTGCCGTTTGTCCGACTTGCGTGAAGCGTATGGTCGGAATGCTACTGGTCTAATAATGTCCATATCCTGGAAGTAGTAAGAAGAAAAACAAATGTGTAAAAATTTCTTAAAGGATTTAACACAATTAATAAGCAATATAATCAATGAATAAACAAGTGAAAACACGAATAAAGTAGGGATAATAACTACTTGAGCTAAAGGAGTCCACTAATAGGAATATTTGAATTTTGTTGTTATCAGAATATTTAAATTCTGATGTTGTCATCCTACCATTCGTTTTATCACTTAAATCTATTGAATGAATTCGAAGCTGCTCTTTCGAAGAATCACAAAAACTCTCAAAAAATTTTCCAAATTTAAATAAAAAGAGGATGTTGATGAGATAACTGTTTCCCATTTCTTGTAGTCTATTGTAAAATGGCTTTCTTTACTACAACCAGAAATTAGCTTACTGAAAGCAATTCTTTAATCACACTCTGTCCCACAAACTTCATATACCATTTCATCCTTGTTTAAACATGTTTCACTCTAATTACTGACCCCGCCTCTTGAAGGCCTATGTATGGTAAGTCCCAGAAATGCCAAGCTGTGGGAGTTTGTTGTAGCGATAGACTGAGTTAGCCGATCATTGTCATGGCGATTCTTTCTAACATTTCTTAGAAGTAAGTAAAGTTATTAATAATTGTCATAGGGTTGCGACCAAAGTTTGAATTTAATGTCAAACATGCTTCGATCATTAAACAGAAAACAATTTCGGAGAGAACACTTCACGTCTGAACCATTGCATGAAAGAAAGCTTCTTGGAAACATTGAAATTTTGTACAGCTATTAAAGCATTTATAGTCTAGCGAAATATCGTGATTTTGCATCATCTTCTCGATCTATCTAATATTACCACTCAGTAATCTCACTATGCATTAACTTTTTGGTAATATGAGAGGGTAAATAAATAGAACGGGAATATATGTTGGGAAAAGGAATGAAGCTCATTTTCGTCTCTTTTTTGGCCAGAATTTGATAAAATCTTTTAGAAATTTGCTATTTGGAGGATGGAATTTCTATTTCCAATACAAAGTGTTCTTGTTTGTTTGAAAAAAGAATATGCATATGTATGCGTAGGACAGTGATATGAAGGAATGAAATGAATGGAAAGAACTCGTCGTATGTCTTCCTCATGTCGCTACATCTACCGCCTCCCCAAAACCAATTTCAAGGACACTCTGAAGTGAACAACGTGTAGACAGTTCCACATTTCTTTTGAATGATCAGTATACAAGTATAGCATGCAAAATTAATTTTTTAGTTTAAAATTTAGTTCTGAAAGTTGGAAAACTCTCAGTGAACTTTACAGTTACGGCGTATGATGAAAACTGAATCATATCAATTCAACAGCTTTTCGCAAGTATTCAGGAAAGATTAATAGCCAGTTGTAATTCAAATTATTTATGAAGAATTACTTATATAACCGAATGAGATTCATACTAGTTCTCCATAAATAATTTGAATTAAATTACTTACCAATCGTTCTAGAAGTTTAAAAAGTTCCAAGAATTTTTTGTTATTTTAAAATTCCGAAGCGAATTCAAAATTAGAATGAAATAATGAAAATAATGAAAACCTTTGGTTTAACACCTGAATATGGAGTAATTCGAACTGGCGGTGGCAAATTGTTGCTTAGATTATCGCAATCTGAAACATTTTCAAATCATATTCTTAAATCATTTTAAATGGTAAACCTTCTCTAGATAGAAAATATCACCAATTTGTCTGTTGAAATGCTGACTGAATGGAAGGAATGGAATCATGATAAGTTGCAAAGCACATTCAAAATTTCAAACATACTTTCAACAGTTTGAGCAGTTGTTGTTCGAATATTTTTTAAATTTTGAAAATGTGCAGCAAGATTTTTGACTGTTCGAGGACCTTTATTGTCACGTTGTTTCAAATTCTGCTGATCCATTATCGTTCCTGATCCATTTAATGTTGTACGGCTAAAAAATTTACTAGAAATTAATACTAGGAAAATAAAATGAGAATACTGTGCATTGCTCTAACTCAATCTCATAGGAGCAGAAATATCGTCGAGTATTAAGGTAAATCAAAGAGAGTTCAAACAATGATCGCTGACTGAGCACCGCAACTGCTTGGCTACTTATCATAAGAAACAATATTAAGAGACGAGGGTGTAATGTTGAAGAATAATTTCATGACAGAATAATGATTCCGTCGGTTAGAGGAGGAGCGAGAGAGAGGTAAACTTACGAATGATAAATATTATTACTGGTCGAAGGTACGATTCGTCCAATGTTATTTACAATTTATTATGAATAACATTGAACTCATAAAAAAAAGAAAAAAAATTGATGTCAAAGTGCTATCAATGCTCAGTTCACCACTTAATGCAGTTCAGCTAAGAAATTAAAGGAAAAGTGGCAAAATCATAGTTTCCTCCAATACAATGACTATGTTAACTCCCTGAAAATGAGACGTGCGAATAGACAATGGTCAACTAAGTACAAAGGGAAAGAATTGTAAAATTATGCTTAAGGCAAGACTTCCAGATAAATGGAAGTAACAAGTAGTAGGCATAAAAATGAGGAATAATGAGTTACTAGATAGATTAAGAAACAACCCTTGCAATGACTTCATCGGTTACAAGCAAATCTTAGTAATAAGAGGTTCGAAATTTGACACCACAATACTTTTCTCACAAAGAACTCTCACACAACATATTTCTTCTCAAGGCTATGCTGTGAGAAGTGTTTTTGTCGAGTATCTCTAAGCTACATTCCAATTTCCGATTAAAATAAAATGGATTTAGCAAAAATGGTGAACAATACCTTTCCTTTGCATATTATTTAGAAGTAAGCAGATTGCACTAACTGTTCTCCAGCAACTTAATCTTTACTCTGTTGTTTATTAACACTGCCATAAATGTATTGTTCGTGAATTACTTTGTTGCTTTGATGTTCCATTTCCTAATGTTTACTGCTTTAGTATGATCTTTTTCATTCACTTACAATAAAAGCATGGAAATAACAAATTTTAATTAATTGAGAAGACGTTATATAACCAGGTTCAGTCTTTCACAACTAACCAATGACTTTGTTGACCTTTTTGAACAAGAAAAAGGACTTTTATGAGAAAAGACGAAAAATTCAGCTTAGCACATACCACTTTAATTAATCCAATAATTATTGGAAAATCGCAGTTCATACTTTAAAATTCGAATTAGTTTTGCAAAGAGTGGTAACCGGGTCAAGTACATAAATTGGCAGCAATCCCATTTGTCTCGTAAAAGTGCAAATTTATTATAACCATAAAACAAAAACATTTATTACTCTGATGTCACTATTATCACCGTTATCAACTTGAATTTCTCTTTTTCGTTATCTTCTTTAGGACTGATGAAGAAAGTGGAAAATGCCAAGTGTCTGATACAATTTTTTCAAGGATTTTCCCGAAAAAGGGAATAATAGATTGATACACAGCAATTTTGTTAAAACTATAACCAAAAACTAGTCTCTTTCCTTTCTCAAAACTGGAAATTTAAATTCAAAACAGATTACGATTAAAAAACTTAATTCAATCGACAATCGAAAAATCCTTAACATAGCTGAGGGATTGGAAACTGATAGTAATACATTTAAGGTTAAATTAAGAAAATGGATCATTCATCGTCTTATAATAATACTTAAAGAAAAGTACTGTAACTTAATACTGTATTCTCTCAGTTCAAAAAATGAAAAAATGAAATTTATGAGAGTAACAGTAGGTGACTGTTACTCTCATAAGTTAGACTCATATCAAGTAAAAATTGTTCCTTGCGAATTTTATAAGAAAAAACTGATAAGCGCTTATAATTTCAAATATTTCATTTTTAAACGTTAATGTTTAGGATGAAGACTTCTAATTCATCATGTATCACTAGTGGAAGAAGCTATGCCACAATAAATAAGTGCGACAATCTTCTAGGGTCATAAATTACAAGTCTAATGCTTCGTTGCGCTTATTTTCATTCCCACAAAAGAGAAAATGTAAACAAAAACGAATCTATTGTGCTGTCAGCATCGCATCCGGGAAATCTGACCACGGAGGAAAGAAAAATTCTGTTTTAGATTTATAATAAATTGCCCGAAGAAAAAAGAAAACAAAATTAAGATAGTAAAAGGAGAAGGAGAGTTCTGTTCAATAACTTTGTCTAGCAAGAATTCACAGATGCTATCTCATTCCATCTTAAAAAGATTGTAAATAATTAGATAATTCATTATTTATTTCAGTTCGAAAATTTCGAATATTTAAAGTGAGGCGGAATATAATCGCTCATTGTAATCTTTCTAGCAAGTTTTGTAAAATGCATGAATTGTTCACTGAAAACAACCATGACAATTCCCCAATGAGTGGAAACATTGGTACTACACAAATATTGCGGAGAAGTGAAAAAATTCAATAATTTTCAATTTAAAAATGTGACAAAACCGATTAAAATCTATTTCAATTACATTCTTATTTACTATGTCAGTATGTGTTTGTTGTTCTATTCATACTTTATTCATTCTATTAACCACTCAGCCATTCATTATCGAATAAAAAATTGTGAATAGTGAAAGATATTGGAAAGAGTAAAACGACGTGACAGGCGTATCGGACAGGCGTAAGCCAAGCGATTTAAGGAATATGAAATAATCTGATGCCAAAATCAATTTTCCCAGTTTGTTATCTGGAAGATAAATCTATTCTTAGAGATCAAATATTAAGAAAAAGAGAACTTGCGAAAACAAATAAAACTCTTTTAGAACGCATTGTATATCTGTTCCATATGATGGCTAGAGAAGCTAATGATCGTAAATGACTTTCAAAAAAAAACTCTCAATGTTGCGAAGTGGGGTAAGGAAATAAGAGCGAATGAATAGGATGAAGAAATGATAAACATTTATTGAAGGGACATGAAATAAAATGTGATATGAAAGGACTGTCAATCCAGCTGGCGATAGTGACCTGTAATATAGCGATGCACTGTTTTGTCCGAGGATAGTTGGCAGTGAAATGGAATTATGTGGAAGTTTCTGGAGTACATTGGATGATAAAAGACATAAATAACAGATGCAAATATAAAAGACAGAAAGTGACCTTCTGAATTGCATTGTTCGAGCTTTCAGAAGTTGCATGCGAGTATTGAGAACAGCAATTAAGTAAATCAGAAAGAATTAATCATACAACAAAATAGCAATGCTTGAATGATAATTGAGCATGTATCAAGCCAAATGCAGGTTATTTGCAATGGTGTGAATATTGATATTCAAATATTGTGCCAAAGTGGTATGTAATTGAAAGATAAAGAGTTTAAAATTTGTCGAGCGTTTTTTATTTAAGTTTGAAATTAATTTTTTATAAATTATAAAACGGGTATATTGGAATTTAAAAAAAAAAAAGTTTGTGAGGTGTAAAGCATTTTTGGTGCAACATCCTTGTTTAAACTTGTCACTGAACTGGACCACCGTTTATTTTCCACCTGAAGTCAAGGTAAGATGTCAAAGCGAGTAAGTAATCCATCAACTGACGAAGTTGAAACAATAAAACCAAAAGAAAAAATCAGCAATATCGAAGGATGATACTATAAATAAAACTGATCAAGGAGTGGAATCCATAGTTCAGCGAACTAGAAGTGCTACAAATGGAAGGAAACATTGAAGTAACTTCAAATACGAATTTCAACATTGAACTAGTGGGTGATGTGAGTAATTATTTTGTTTAATTCATTTATTTAATAACTATTTGCTTCTTTTAATTCGGAAAATAGACTGAAACAGCAAGAAGAAAAACTAAAAAGTAAACAAAAGTGTATTTTTTTTCCCATAAATTACATTTTGTCCCAGTAACCAACAGATGCCTCAATCCAGAAATAACCTTTTTCCTGCATTACCCTCCATTGATTCTTAATGCTATTTGAGAGCCCAGTAAACAGATAATCCTCTCCAGGCAGAAGACCACATGTTCCCATAAACAAATGCTAAATAAAATAATTATGACAATGGGTATAATAGATCCCTGACGGATAGTTGCCTTACCAGCTGGACATAAATTAGTAGAAATCATATTTTCAAGTGGTTCGTCAGGCTTACCAAAGACAAACCCGAAAACAATCAAGTTACTCTTTTACTTCAACAAAGTGAGATTGTGGCACAAATTAAAGTTCCTCTTAACAATATCGTCGACTTTTGCTTAGAAATTCTAAATGTATGTTCTTGTTAGCACAGAGTTGTGGAAAAGAGCAAAAAATGTATGACTTATCAGTGTAAATTAATTGTATAACTCATCATTCTGAATTAATTTGAATCAAATATAGATTTGCCGAACCTCTAGTTAATGACTTAATATATACTGATTACTGTCTAAAACTATAATTACAATTAAATCACAAGGGCATATTTAACCCATTCCCATAGCTTTTCTGTAAAAACCCTTACAAAGCTGAAGAATAAATTTGATCGACAATCGACACATACAACTACAATAAGTCCTTCCGCTTCTAAATCTATCCACAAAATAAGCTCTAAGTAGAATGTGTATGGCTTCGCCTAATATAATAACTTCTTTGCGCTGTATTCTGTTTCAAAATAAATTTTTGAATAACTCAAGAGAAAAAAAAAATAGAGTTTAAATAACTTTCTTTCTCATAAAACTACTTATTTTTTTTTTTTTGTTGAATGGGAATTTACATGAATATTCTTGCTATTCTTGCCATGCCAACACTATGTAAAAAAAAAAAAAACGAAATGCTTAACCGAAAAAAGACTTATTTTCATGAAGTTCAAGACTCATTTTTTTTCCGATATAACATTTCATATTTAAATTAGAGTAGTAATATTCTATTTTGGGTACGTACGCAAAAATACATGTACACGTAGACGATAAGTTTCACAGTTTTTAAAAAAAAATAGGATTACTCCGGAAAACAGGAAAGTAAATTAATGTAGTGCGGAAGGTAAAAAATGCTATTAATCTACCGTAGTCAAAAAAAAAAAATCATTGCACCGGGCATTCTCAACCAGTCTTAATTTCAAGCCCGAATAATGCACATACAAAGACTCATAATTTTCTACTAAACAGTTGAATACATAACATATTATTAAATACATAATAGTATTCTCATCTGTTATGAACAACAACTAAGATCGAGAATTATTAGCATATATACGGATGCTTCGAGTCCTGAAAATAGTTAGACCATTGTGATATTCAATACTAAGAACATGGAAAATTTGCGCATCGCGTAAATATATTGTGATAAAAAGCAGAAGCATACTTTAAGACAGTTTTTTTTTTTCTAACTGTTCCAAGAATGTAGTGGATTTTCTCAGGACGGAAAAAATAAAATCTTTTCAAAAATTCTCGAATTACATGGGATGAATCACTTTGTATTAAGCAAATTTTCACAAATGTGAAAACAGGAAGATGCTTTTTCCACCAACAAACATTCTGAAAACTATCATTTCTAAAATAATTAATATACTCGCACTGTAATACTCAAATAGCAGGAATTGATGCATCATTGAATATCTTAGCTCTTGTAATCTGTTAGTCCTGAAATGATTAGCAGTAGCATACCGTTAGATTACCAGCAACTGAGAAATCAATGTCAAATAAAACATGAAGACGTTATTTTAATGGATTTTAGACAGATGGATCTTTTCTCCCCAAGGAGGTCAATAAAAGAAGTCTTCTGGTGATGGGATCTTTGTTCACAGCAAACCTTAGGTTCCATTAACAAAAGCATTTGCACAGCTGCCACTCCAGAGCTGCTCATCAAGACGGGCGCTCCTTTAAGGTACAGAGATCGTACCAAGCAAGAGTTTTCTAGACAGATATTGTAAATGAAGCTAAAGGTTAAAGAAAGCAGACAATGAATGATAAGGGAGAGAAAGGTCAAGAAAAGGTTAGAAAGAAAGGAATCTACATCCGTCAGCAAATCATGCAGCTTTCTTTGCAATCTGTCATGCTTTAAAGTGGCAGCTCGCATATGTTGTCGTAATTAGAAACTTGAATAATGCGCAAGATGAGGAACGATTTTAAGTGAACATAGGTAACAGCGAAATTGGTTTAAAGTAGAGGTCGACTAATGGGAGAGAAAACGTAAAGAAATTGCTTGCTTATCCAACACTTTCAATGTTTTATGAAAATAACAAATGAGTAAAAGAAACCCGAACTAACCGCAAGGATTCACATTCAATTTGAAATTCAATAATTCTATAAATTTCGAAATTTCAATTTCAAAGTGAACTTTCAGCATAGTTTTTCTCTTCGTTAATTATAATGGCACAATTCAAAAACTTGAAATTCCAATAACTTCTTTAATTTCAAATTTTAAATTTCTTAATAATTTTGATTGATCATACGATTTTAATGAAGATAATTGCATTCACAGTCAAAGCTTCAAAAAAAAAAAGTGGAAAAATGGAAAAATTATCGAAATGTGGATGGAATGTGAGTTCTTCAGCATCATGTAAGAGTAAACTAAGAAGTGATGAGTAAGTATATCACTAACAATCAATCATTTGACTCTAATAATTGTAGAGGGCGATATACAGTTATCGTTAACGAATAGTAGCTTTGTGATAAACGTTATCCATTCATTTTTTTATCCAGTCACCGTTGTTTGTTTCGGAAGAAAAAGAATACGAAGAATTTCCGCTTAATCTCAATGATTTTACGAAGTGGTAATAAAACGGAAGAAAATACAGTAAAGCAAGAAAATTGTTCACATAATACGATTTAATATAACAAACAAAAAAAGTGAATAAATCGATTAAATCCTGACAATGGAATGAAAGTTACCGCACTGCGTAGATTTAAATCAAACAAAAATTTAAAAATTTCAGGTATTTAATTTATTGAAATTTTGGCGTAAATTTTATATAGGGTTTGTTTATCGAAATAATACCAATCAGTATTATAAATTGCAGAAAAGACTTTCTCTGAATGCCGACTAGTTATTAGATTTTTTGTGTCTACTACATTCAGAATATTGGTACTGCTATTGAATATTCACTTGAAGACGTAATTGGAAACTGAGACTGAATTCAGCAATCACACAAATCTTTTCAACTCAAAATTGAGTTAACTTCAAATTAAAACAGAGATTAAAAATTAATACTATTCAAGACCAAAAAAATTCATTAAAGTCTTCCATGGTAGGAGAAAACAGTAGAGGTCATTCACTAAGAAGGACCAAAGAGGAGCACGGGTGCTTAGAAGGGATATGATCGGACATTACATCATTCGGCGTTAAAGACAAGTATATCAAGTAGTAATAAGTGGGTCGACGGAATTGCACATAAATGATCTAAATCATTAGATGAATCTGTGAAATGGGAAGCGCAGGTTGAAATAGGGCAAAAACAAATCATACAAATGACAGCAGAACAACTTAGTATAAAATAATAAGACTTTCGGGATATTATTCTATTTTGGATTAAAGACAAACTTCACTTAGAGTACTTTATCTTTGTTCCTGTTATCTAGTCCACATAAATTATGTGTGGTCACAGAATACAGCATGGTTCAACATCATTAAAAAATTTAGGATTTCGAATATAAGTTAAGTTCATTTTCTTTTATATTACAGTTTCTATTTTCATTCCAAGTTTGATTTATGGAAATATAAAAAGAAAAAAAAATAATTCGACGTTTTTTTTTTTTTTTTTGATGAGGTAAAAATATCTCTGCAGATGCTCTTATTATTCGATGTTAAAAATTTTACACAATGGAACCTATTCGTTTAGTACTAATGAAGGGATATCTACAGGACGTTTATAGATTGTTAATAGAGATCAAAAAAAGAAAACACAACTCAGAAAAAACTGGAAATCATGATAACAGTTTTGAAATAATTCAAATACTACTAGAAACTTTTTCATGTTAATATTCCTCAGAGAAGGTCTACTGTGTTGGCCTTGAAACTTCATTGAGTGTTCGCAGTAATCTTTAATCTAAAATGAAATATGCGGAAGAAAATTAGTCGTATACGGGCGGGAATCTTCATATGTACACGTATATGTTAATTTCTTACAAAATAAATACGCGCACTAAATATTTAATAAATTGTTTCGGGGTAAGTAAGTGTTAAAATTTCTGGAAATTTTAAGAGAACGAAACAAATTGCTAAAATTCAATGTTAGCCCATTTATTCCCGTTCTCCATTTTTACGCTCCTCATTACAACATATCAGTGTTACAGAGTTACGATACCCTCAGAACTAGTTAGCATTCGAGCATTGACAAGACAACAATTACATGATTACATGTTGATGCCAGTGACAGAAATAGAAACACATGTAAGAAATCTCTAAAATATATCCTCAGGTGACACTTACCTACCGATCCTTCAATCTTTAAACATCACATGTCTTTTGAATTTTGGAATTTTCTCTTTGCGATCTTTGGAAATACCTGGCATGCGTACTATTCAGTAGTAGTCGCAATGAATGATCTTGTAATACTGGCTTGAAGTTATGTAACTTTTAAATTCGATCCTATAAGATTATATTGAGCAGGGAAGGCAAACCTGGTAGTACTCTCGCTTGTCAAGAAGAAATCACTGGTTGATCGCGTCGGCAAATTTGGTCGGTCTTCTTTCTGTGCAAAAACTGATGTTTTTGGTGAAAATTTGGCATTATGTATCTGAAACTGTAAAATTTTTCTTCCTTATCAAAAAATTAGTTTGTAAAGAGTTTTCAAACGATTTTGAAATTTCAACAGAAGTTGTGAAGTGAAATACCAAAAAGTAATAGAATATGATTGAAAAATAAGAAATTTTGAAAGCAATCAGAAATGTATAGTTTAGATGAGAATTTTAAATGTAAACCTTTTTATATATCCTCAGAAGATAGTAACAAAAAGGTGTTAAGCACTGAATAATTTTAAATAAAAATCCAATTGATCAGCAGCAACTTTTAAGATGAAGAGTTTTGCAAAAAAAATGTATCAATATGCATATTTCAAGTAGAAACGAATAAAGAATAGAGTTTACTTAGTGGAAATTTAGTCAGTTTAGAACTTTGTAGAATTGTTTTAGTAGGATTTGATTTAGAAAGAAAGGTCTTTTCAACATTAGATTCTTTCAACTAATTTTGTCGCGCAGGGAGTGAAATGGAATGTTAAAAAAAATTTTTTCCAAGAAAAAATTTAATATATATACTGATAGCAGTAATACTGCTATCAATATGTAAGTAAATACTGAATTTTTTGTTGTTTTAGAAGCAAAAATATTGAAAGAAAAATTTCGATATTTTTAGGAGAATTGTTCTAGAAAGGGAAAAAAATTTTTTAAGAACTTATTTTAAAAAAGATTCAAAAAAGATTTTCTCTGAAAAAATCTTTACAATTGCAAACTTACTTATGTAAATTTGACTATTTTTTTACAGCGTTCTACTTAGAATTCTGAACTATATCTCTCAATAATCCCGTCATGTCATGTACCTGATCAGTGGAATCACATTTGAGTGCTGCCCAATCAAGTACCACTTCGACATCCGACAAATGCCCATTTTGCTCTTGATTTGTTGTTGGCATTTTCCTGCAAAAGAATAAGGAATATCAGTTCAGAACTAATAGATGGCTATTTAATCTAGGACTTTAAGTTTCACAGAGTAAAGAAATATGATATGAATAAAATGAATATGTGATAGATAAATTCCACTCGCTCCATATTTATCCCCTCAAAGCAATTCTCATATTTCAATTCTTATTTCTAGAAATTGTAGATTTTCATAATCATGGAAATAAATAATAAGCAATGATAAACAAATTTACCAAATTAATCTGTGGAACTGCAAAAACGTTTTTTTTTTGTTTAAAAATGTATTTCGATCCCAAGAAGTGAAAACACCAATCTGTATGGGATTTTCAACTTCATTTCATATTAATGCTTTATTTTAAAATGTTTTATAATCAATCAAAATTATTTGAAGAATTTGAAGTTTCAAAATTGAAACACCGAATATTGTTGTAATGTTGAAAAACGATATTACTCAATAAATGAAAGGCAATGACACATTCGAGCAGCGAAATCCTATCTTACTTGACCATTTTAAGGGAAAGAGAAGGTTGACGCTCTCTCTATCCTCGCTTAACTACTACTGTGACCTAATATCCTATATCTCTTCCTTTGATCGGAATCATATATTAGTTTCAACGGTTTCGCAATTAATTATATAATATGATAGATGAAACCAGACAAAGCGTGTCATAAGTAATCCTTCTCGTCCAGCTACGTCTTAACACAACTCTTAATTAGTTAATTTAAAACAAATACTTTTATGCACTGTTAAATCCTCCTCATCGCTGCCCTTGATGAGAGAAGAGCATCAATATGATAAGAAATTGTCTTTTATTACTTATCAGTATCTAACTGGTTCCAAATTTGTTTGATTTTAGTTGTCAAGAATTAATGAAATTATAAATAGGACCTGTTAGCAGGTGGTGGTTCACTAGAATCTTTGTGCCGCCGACCGTTTTGTAATTTATTTTTCCATTTCTGCAATCTATCACTGCTACCTTGAGTGAATTCAAGAAATCCACGACTAAGCCTACTGCTAAGAGATTCTCGGAATTCGTTAATGTTATTTTGTCTTCGATTCATTCCATCTTTATGTTCTGTTGAATGCAAGCTGTTAACTGAGGAACAATCACCACGATAACCGCCAGATCCACGTGAATTTAGCGTTGATTGCGACGAGTCAGGATGCGGAATGTCGATGGTAATTTCCGGTGTTACAGTATCTGAACATTTTGGTACAGAAGCTGTTTCAGCACTATCTACTGGTATCGGATCAGACGGAACAGTTTTGGGGTAATTTTGCTGCAGCAGTAAAGGAATACTGTCATTGTTACTGTTGACAGAGTCTCGAATATGTTCACTTGAAGATGGTGAAGTTGCCCTTGTTTCGAAGTTTGCCAATGGTGACTTTTGATCTATTCTGCTATGAGATATTGAGATTTCTTTAGAATTATTCAAATTCTGCCGTTGCGCTGTAATTGTGGTTGATGCTTGAAATGTCGCTGCTGCTTTACTTCCCTACAATTTGATAAAAATTGGTTTAAAAAGCTGGAAAAAATAACATGTAAGCAAAAATATCTGGAAATTATTGAAAATAAATAAGTAAACTTACTTCTTTCTTCAACATTTTTCATTGCTTTTTCATGTGATGGAAAGATATATTTATCTGTTTATTTATTTTTTATAAAAATATAACAGTGAAAAAAAAGTGAGTTTGGTAAGTTACAATTTTTGCATCATTTCATATTTAAATGTTATGCATTTGAAAATTTTGTATCGCAAAACAATAAATTGCATAAAAATTTGTTTCTTTAATTTTTAAAGATATTTTAACAAATATATCTGCAAAAAAATTCAACTGTAAATTTTCACAAAAGTCTTTAAAAAATTTAAAAGAAAAGGATTTAAGCAAAAAAAAAAAAATTAAGCTTCTGTTGAATTGTAAACAATTCATAAAGTTATTCTGTTTTTCATTATTTCTTTATTTTCATCTGGTGTTCTCATTAATCATCTGTTACGTTCTAATAAAATTGGATTTGATTTGGAAACTGGAATATTTTTTTTATTCTGTCACGAACTTTGAAGAAGTAACACAAGAGGTAAAATAAAAAGCCCAGGCTTAATAAATAACACAATAGAGTAAAATTGCTTCAAAATTTTCTTCATTTAATTATTTACAATTTACCATTTTACTTATGCTTGTTTCTTAAATGTTGCTTTTTGGGAATAAAAATTTGGAACTTTTAAAAGGATTGAAATGTAAACTGGGAGATGAATGAAGCAAAACATGCATAACAATACGTTAATCTGTATGAAAAGGATATTTTTATTACTGCTAAAGCTATTCGGTACACTGTCACTCAAAGGTAATCAAATATTACTCAAAATATCATTATGACTAATACTACTGAAATCATAATAGTACCATGAATGAATAATGTCTGCAATTGAAGATTGCTCGTTATTCTTTACTGCCTAACGATACATCATACCTAATATCATAAATGTAATATGCGCTTCTTTAAATAGCGATGACACCTGCCACCTGATTTCTGCTACTTTTGTTTTGCCATTTCATATGACACCATTCTACTATTATCCAATAGTTACAACTATTCTAGTAGTAGTGAATGTATCCATCATTATTTTGAGAGGGAATTCGTAATATGAAGGCTAGGAAAATAACGCAAACCTTGCTGATGAACAATTTTTTGGGTCTGCCCAAAGAAAGTGTCGCGGAGACCGAACAGTGTTGTGGGTCACTAATAATAAAAGTTCTGTTCTTGTTGGGCGATTCCTGTTGCTGTTGAACTGTGCTAGAAAAATCAGCCAGTAATAAATGTGGAAGAAAGCTTAACATCCAAATCAATGGCTAATGAAATTCAATTTCACTTTCACAGTAAAAAAAATTTATTTGAAAAAAAAAAAGGATTTTCTAATTTTGATCATCTCCATTAAACATTTTTGAAAATTTCCAGGTACTGAAAGTAATTTGGAAAAAGAGAAAGAGTTTGGAAATAAAGTTTCAATGATAAAAGCAAATCTAAAATTATGCATTTCTTCGAAAATGTATTGCATTTCAGAGACAACACTAAATATTCTTTATAACGCATTTTTAAGAAACCTTTGACAAATTCAAAAACTGCTCCAAAAATGTTAAAAAATACTATTTGAACTAAATATTTACAGTACCCACTCACATGTATACAGTCATCTTCATAATTTCATAACGCATTTTCCGATTTATTTACTAAAATATTAATTAAATATGAGTAGTTAAGAACTGATAATTTCTAGCAGTGGAAATATAATTAGGGCTAACCAAATGTTTAAAAGTATAAAGATGAGGAAAATGATCAAGATTCATTTTAAGACTAAAGAAATAAGATCAATGGGGGGAGAAAATGTTGAATTTGTTGAAAGCAACCAATAAAAAAAAGGAAAAAAATTAACAAGAGAATAAATTTATAAAATTAAATAGATGAATTTTTATACAATCTGTACAAATCCTGCTGATTTAATAAAGTTACTATAATCTGAGATTTCTCAGTCCAGTAAACTCTTTTATCATCATGAAACGAAGCTAACAATGGAACTACATAGGTACTTCACTGGTTAAATGGTGAAATAAGTTTATTAGAAAGTTTTATAATCCTATCTTCATTCTGCTCTCCTCTTTATGTTCAGAGAATAGATTAGAGATAAAGATCAAAAAGACTTTTGCCACCTGTTGAAACAAAGATAATGGATCAAATAGTAGGATACGGGAGCAGTGTATTGAAAGAATTTCTGCATAATTATTTAATACATTCTATATTGATATGGTGTAGGAAGATGAATTATGGTACCCGATTACCTTAAATTAGACTGGATGTGAGTAATTGTCACACATAATTGCATGGCATACTGAATTATGTTTATTCCGGATGATATTAAACTTCATTCAATGAAAAAGTTATTACAAAAAATATGTGTCTTCAGAGTCAAGCTCAATGCAATCGATTTAATTTAATTTAATTATTATTCTACTCTATCAATGATTGATTGCATTATGTAATAAATATAAGTATATGCTTAATGTTCGATCGTTTACAAAGTTCACATTTCATTGAACAGATAGACTTTTAAAAAATACCCTAAAATAACAGACTATACTGTGGTAATGATGCCTAAGATCAAAAGTAGGTTCCTAATTAAATTTCTGTATTACATTGTTTGTATTAGCAATAAAAACTCTTATTATCTCATTAGAAAGAAGAACTTATCCAATTAGATTCACCTATTGATAACGCATCAATTTTGCAGATATTTTGAGCCTTATCAGGAAACTGTAAAGAATGGAACGATATAGCTAGAAAAAATGATGATAGTAGTGCGAACTGTCGTTATGATCTTATGAGTTAGAATCTAAATGGTATATACATGTAAGTTCTAATTAACTGGTAGTTCTCAATGGTTTATTTGATGAATGGACATTACAATTTTGCAAAAATCCAACGAACCATCCATATTCTTCGTTACTTTTTAAATCCTTATCCAGACGATGTTGAATCGGCAGACACAGTGTATTGCGTAGTTTATGATTATTTGTTTTGCAAAGCCGTGACATCAAGTTATAACCTTTGTTACGTGGGGTTTGCAACGTTTCAATAATTTTGAAGTGAAATGAAGCTGAAAACCATTTTCAAAACTTCAGCTAAACAAATTTTATTAATCAACGGAAGTTCAGTAAATACTGAGTTTATATAGTCTTAAAATTGAAAACTATCCCTTATGGCATATATCACGTAAAATAAATCTAAGAACAAAATTTGTTTCCTGATAGTGAAATTAAAAAAAAAAAAATACTATAAAAGAGAAAAAAACATGATCGACAGTGCACTGCCATTTTTTAAAGAATGAGTGTATTTAGTGTAAACCGTTCAGCATTTCATGAAAATTTATTCTTCGGCGAGCATAGAAAGAGATACGAAGAATTTAAATGAAGAATACAGAAGTTTATGTCAAACTCATGAGCTAATTCCCAACAAATTCAGCATTCGGTTAAATTCTGGAAAGGATTCGAAAATTTTTCTACAAAAAAAAAAGAACAACCGATCTTTTCATCCACAAATACTGTTTGCTAGGCAAAAAAAAAAAAAAAATCATATATACTGAGTGAGTGCACATGAAATCAGCTTTTTTTCCTTTTTTTTTTTTTTGGAAAAACAAGTTTTTCACTTGTTTTATACTTTTTTATAGTAATTTATTCCATTTTTTGAAAACTATTAAAAAAACAGCACTGATTTGTTAAATCACTTCATCCTCACAAATCTTTCATACCTTACGTCTTTTAGGCCAATTTTTCTAACTTTTCTCACAAGAAAGAGAAAGGCCCCATTTTTATAGACGCCTAAATGATTCTTGCAAGTGCATAATGAAGAATTAGAAATATATGCAATTTTTCGAGAAAAAAGACTGCAAACTCACTTGAACTACAACAAAATACAGTCATAAAGTGTGCAGAGTTTTTCGAGACCTTTGATAGCAAAGAATTGTTAAATAAACATATTGCTGCGTCAAAAGTAAATATTCAGTAAGGACAGAAGAGGAGGAGAGTTTTTGACGACCACTTTTGCCGGAACGAGTTTAAATAAAAGATAATGGGAAAGAAGGAAATGAAGAGGAAAGCAAGAGGAGAAGATGGAGCAGCATTAAAAGATGCAATTTCAAAGTGTACTGAAAGTTAATTCAGATGAGATGCCACCATTCACTACCATCATACCACTTTTTGAATCGCATTTCTTTTCCATTTCATTTGAATTTAAGTGCTCAGTACAAAGTAATTGATGCCTATGAACGGAGAAAATTGGTTAAGAGAGTAGCTACATTTGTTGTACGAATTACTTTAAATTGAGTTAATTACGAAACACTTTGAAGTTTCTCAAACAAATGAAATTTTACAAGATCAGCCCATTGAATTTCATATAGAAATTATCAAATGCAGTGCGCTGATATGAATTTGTTACAGTTAAAAATACAGATTTTATACAATTCAAAAATTAATTCTCTGGATGAACGACAAAATTTTCAACTTTGATATCTGGATAACCCCAAATAACAAGTTAGGATAAATTCAAATTGCTGAAAAGAATTGATTGAGAAAAATCCAAGAAATTCTATTACATCAATTACCACAACTCTAAATGACAGTTGGGTTATACTGATTCAAGCGTCGGAATTGTCAATGACATTCGATAAACTGAGAGATTTTCAATCGATTTGAAGATATGAAAATCTGATAACATTTGAAGTTGTAAGATAAGTATCCGCATTATGAACAACTGCTATCCAAAATGAAGTAGTGATGCTGATATTTTTATGCAATATGTCTCGTTGAAATCTTATATCAGCCCCTAAACAACAATCGAATTATCATCATCAGTGGTTGATTCTTAAGAAATATGTCTTACCATCTCTTCGAAAGCGGTATTAAGGAATATCACATATATCTCATCCGGAATATCTCATGATCAACTCTAGTTGGCAGGTTTTGAGGAGATATGTTAATAGATGGAATATGATAAAGGATTCAATTTAGATAAGAATTAAAATGCCAGAATCGAAAAGGAAAGGTTTTGTTAACAGATGGGATGATAAGTTGATCAAATGCAGATTTTTATGAGAAAAAAAGTGAAAACCTGTCAGCAGCATTAAAAACAGCATCAGCAAAGCATTCATGGCATCGTTTCTTTTTTAATATCACTTGGGTCTGAGCTGGTTTGTTAGCTATCGTTTTCTGCAGAGTTGTAGAGCTGAAAAAAAAAAAAAAAAGTAGAACTTAATCAAAAAGTTCACTTTTGTGTCAAATTCCATTAGCAAAAGTTTCACAAAAAATTATGATAAAGTAAATGGTTCTCTTTATATTTTCTGATGCTTCCGATTCCTCCTCATAAATTTTTGATTAGTATAATACTCAAAAGAAAACCGAAATTAAGAGAATGAACTAGACGAGATTATTTTTTTTTACAAAGTTTCAGCAGATAGCTGGATATTAGCTTAAAGTCAGCATACTTCGAATGATTAACGTTGGTTATATGAATGAAAGAAGGAAAAAAGAAATTCAATGCAGTAAGTATCGAAGACAATATTTCTGAATGAATGAACAACAGAAGACAGACACATAAAGATTATGACAGTTTTGTCATTATGATCAAAAAGTATTGAAAAGGAAAAAAATTAAAAAAGCCTTATTAAACACATTTTTTTTCTGCTTTTAAACACATGTCAAACCCAACTGGTCTAAAATATCCAATTCAGATGCAAGTAGGAGCCTTTCTTTCTCAGTAAAGTTAGCGTTTCAATTAGTACCAAAAATTTGGAGAGCAGAATAATCGGTTCTTTTTAATAAGAATCATATTATCAAGTGACGAGTTAAGCGCTAAAAATAAGTTCCTAAACGGTCTAGGGGTGTCTGTCTTTATTGGTTGAAATCTTAGAGCGAGGAGATTTAATGAGAAGAGTGGGAAATAAAAAAAGATGAAATGAGCCTTCTTGTTTCATTTTCTTTCTAGAGAAAGAAAACTGTTGGAGAAGGCACCTTCGAATAGCAGATGAGTTGACGGTGTTTGTCTTCATTGACTGAAGTTGAAACAGCTATAAAAGATAGAAGGTCAAAATAGTAGTATAAATGACTGAATAAGATCAAAGAACAAAGAAAACATATACTGATGAATATTGTGTATTGATAGATAATACAAAAGAGTTGAACCGAAGTTATGTATGATAAGTATTAGTAAAAATAGCAGCGACGAAGCAATAGGATACATCGAGTTTTACTGAAAGGTCAAATGCGCTAAATGACCAATAAATCTTATATTTTACATCTTTCAATTGATGCCAAGTTTAGAACTACAAGCATTTATCGCTTTTTATTGGGCTAGTACATAATTAACATTCCAGAACTCCTCAAAGTCATCTTTACAAAAAGCATTTCTGAAGTATTAGAAAAGTCCTTTAATATTCCAGAAACACTAGTACCTTATATCATACTTGATCATTTCCTACTGATATTTAGTATTGAAGATTGCTATCAAATTGATAGCTATTTCAAATTATCACTACATTAAGCTTACAAAGAGGGCAAAAAGGTTCAATTAACTATAATTGTGCTTTATGCATGTCACATTTGTTAATAACATTTGAAGTATTAACATTTTCACTTATCAGTTAATTTTTTAAGAATTTCAGAAATTCCAGTTATGAAAACTTTAGATTTTAATACTTTTGAACTCCATAATAAACGAATCAGTAAAGAACATGAAGGAAATAATTTTTTGAAATTAAAAAAAACCGACGGTTCATAGTTTCATTTGTGAGAATGGTGGACAAAATGTGTACTCTTTGGTTCAGCAAATATTACTGAAATGGATATGGAATCTGCAAAACGTAACTGTAACAAATAATAAGTACGATTTACCATAGAAATTTGAGGTGATTCTGAACATAATAAGCATTTCAATCTTATGATTATATATAAGCGTACACATACATTTCTCTCATTTCTTAAATCTAGCAAATATTTGAAATACTTACTTGCTATTTTATTTAGCATAGATCCCAATGCAGTTAGTTTTCAGATTTTATTGTTTTCAACGTAACAGTGACGAAAAAGATAGGGAAAGCAAAAATATCATGCTGAAGAAATAATTACCTATACTCAAGAAATAATGACTAACCTCAGCAAATTGCTGAATGATGGAAAGTTTGAACTTTTTAAAGATATTTTAAATTGAAATAAAATAGGCAACTTTTTCTTCTTCTAAACCTTCTACTTTAAAGAAATTATATCAATTTCAAAATTGCTGTTTGCACTTTGCATTTTGAGTCTCATTATTATATAAAAAAAGCGACTCAAAAAAAAATGTTTCTTTGAGCAGGGAAGTCAGGTGACGCAGCGAGTACGTTCATTTGGTTTTAAAAATATTACAATGAAAAAGTAAGAAAAGAAGTTTCGAGATAGTGAACAAATGTGAATGTTTTGATGAACAATATTTCCCTATAAAAATCTCATCCTGATCGGGAAGTGTGCCCACGTTAACAGGCATTAAAAATATTTAAATATCTTTAAAAAAAGATTATAAGGATGAGATTACTAAGAAATAATTACCTTAATTTGCATGTACATTGAGCTGATCATCCTGCACATATCATATCAGAATATATCAGCCCGAGAATATAAACTATCGAGACAATTTCAATTGCTATATAAAAGAAAATAAATTAAATCACTTTGCTAATCACTCTACTATTTTTTTAAAACTACGTGTAATGAGTCATCGAGAAAAAATAAAGGAGTGACTTGACAAACAGTTGAAAGATTGAAAGAGTAACAGTAACTTGCAATAAAGTAAGCCAAGATCGATCGAAATCCACTTATACAAATAAATTGTATTAATGAAAGACTGAAAGTAAGAATTCAACTCACAAAAACAAATCATATTAGAAAGTCACAAATGTTGCAAAAAACTTTAAACCATTGAATTCAAGATCAATTAAATTTATAAAGGTTTAGATAAGAAACTCAAACAAACATTTTCGATTCTTCATCTATTTGTGAGCCACAATTCTCAAGACAAATTTGTGCTCTGTCACATTCTTGCTGATCATATTTTTCGTGTATTTGCTGCGACAAGTTATCAGCTTCTATCATTGTTTCATTAAGCATTTCCGATTCGGCACAAACTGATTCACAGCTCAAATGCTGCAGTTCTATGGTGTCACAATTCAAGAAGTAACTATCAGTGTTAGCGGTAGCAGACTTGAGATAGGTTTTATCATCTGGCTTACAATATTCAGATTGAAGCCGATTACCTGCATCTAAATTTTGTTCTATGAAAGTGATGCAATTATCTAATTCATGACTTACTGAATTCCTGTTAATTGTTATAGAACTAATATTTTCCCTTTTTGATGAGGATTTTTCTTCTTCACTAAATTCAGTAAAAGCAAATGATTTTACTTTTGGAAGCCCTTTTTCTTCTCTTCGTGTTGCACGTTTTGTAAATTTCACAACCTGATGAAAGCCTTCTTCCGATGGTTGATGAATCAACCGCATTGGCAGTCGTCCGTTTATACCTTCTTCCTCTTCTTCTTCTTCATCGCTTTTCTCCATCTCTTCTCTCTCCTTCAGGTAATTCTTTTGATAGCCCTTACCTTTTTTGGAATTTATCTCAGGACCTATATTTTCTAATCCACCAGAACTTGAGCTGTGAACATATACATCTGGTGAAGAACTGTCGTGCATAGTCATACCCGTTGCATTAAATGCGGCGCCATTTTTTATCGTCTTCTTGAGTTCATCATTGCATGTTGTAGAATATTGCTGATTCATTAAGATACCCGTGCAATAATTATTCAGGTGAGGTACAGTTAGACAGTAATGGTAGTCACAGCGATATTGCAGGTGAAAACAATAGCGGTAGAGATAGAGGTGATGGTGTGACGACGGTAGTGGCGGTAGTGGTTGTGGTAGTAGTGGTGGTGGCGGAAGTTGTAGCAGTAATGACGTGGTGATGGATCAGTACGATTAGTTACAGACGTTTGCGCTAAGAAATTTGGATGATGTGTTGCTGGCTTTCCTCTAAAAGCTTGCTCCTCCTCAGCTTCTGTTTCCACTCTACAAACCGTCCCTTCTACTTTCCTGATTTCTTGCCCTCTTTCTCGCCATCACTTATTTTCCTTCCGGCAATAGAGCATTCTCTAATGCTCTCACTTCCTTGTCCTCACCTCTGTTCCTCCTGCTGATGAATAATTTCGATTATATATATATATATATATAAGATACCTCGATCGAAGAATGGTAGATTTGCACATATTTTCACATAAATTTTATTTTTCTCCCAACCATTCTTATCTTCCTAACTTCTTCCTAGCCTTCTGCTTGGTTCTAAATCATTAGCGATAGGCGTCAAAACTTGCTTCCATTTTAAAATTTGTTGTACGACTGCTAATCTTTTTGGCCAAACACTCTACTGATCATCATTTAAACTTGAATGCTTTTTTAAGTTGCCTTTTTTTGTCACCGACTTCGTATCATGTTAGGTTATCTTGTTAGAATTTTTCTCTGATTTTTCCGGAAAATCCAGTGCAGTAACACATGTGGTAATATCCGAATTAGTCTAGTCCTGGATAGGATGACTCCTTTGAATGAAACCCTAAAACACGGAATTGCGTGCAGATTAAGAGTGCCACTCAGAAGATTAAATAAAGAGGAATTGAAATACCAATGCTTTTCAATGATCAGAAATATTGCTGAATTTATTAATGCTCTATCGATAAATTTTCGATCCTATTGTGGTACCAGAAGTAACACTTATCTTCAGCAATTTTTAAAAGTTTAAAAAATTTTTTGGAATTCCTGCAAGCTTCCAGTTTACACAAAGTATTATTTTTCTCGCTTTTTTCTTTGGTAAAAAGTATGCAAGAAAATGCAAAGAAAACGAACATCTTTAACAACCTTCTGCAATTTAAAGTATCAAAATGTATTTTTCTCAAACTATCACATTGTAATGTGTAAGAAATCAGTGAAAATGCGAAAAAATCAATTCTGTCCTTTAGTGAGCAAATCACAGTTTAAAAAAAATAATAAAAATCAAAGATGGATGGTGGCCATTTAAAAAGAGTTTATAAATTTGTAATAAAATAATTTGAATGTGACTAGGAACAGTGAACTAAATTAGACTGAATGCCGATTAAGTAGTACAGCAAAGATGATAATTTCTGATTCGCTATGAAATAAAGTTAACCTTATATAAAGTAGAAAAGGACTGAGAAACTGTAGACGGAATTGTTCACGTCCATCATGGATGAGAGCAATTATTACAATTTATAACTGTTATTTATTATTATTATTGTCATTTTTATTGTCATTATTATTATTATTACTATTATTTATTATTGTTATAAGCATCACTATTATTAATTATTATCGTGACTGTACACTGCACTCATTTTTTAAATACACGATATATATATAATTTATTTGCAGTGGGAAAAAGGACTTATCGACTGATTTCGTTGTTCACAAAATATAATGTAACTTGCAGAATTTCTATAATGAACCTGGAAAATTAAAAAAAGAGAATTATGAGAAAAGAATGCGAGAAATTGATATTCAATACAAAACATCAGCAGATTACTTCTAGTGTTGTAATTAGTGCTTCACTCATTATAATCACTGCGCACCTTTGTTAACGGTAACAAATTTGGGCAGCAAATAAAATTTTTCTAGAAATTTAAGAGTGTTTATTGTTTACTGTAAGTATAATACAATGTACTCTTTAATTATGACTGCCAATCTTCTCTCGTTATTACAAATCCCATCCAATAATTTTCTAAATTGTTATAATTTCTGTTGCTAAAGATCTAACGAAGAACACTATGAAATATATGCGAAATAGACTCATTAAATCCATTTCTTTTTAAATCTAGTTAATGGTTTGTATGTTCAAATAATAAAAATAATGAAAATGCATTAAAAGTTTTGTGGAATTGGCCTTTTCATTATTGCCTTAATGATGGCTACAAAGAGGACTGATATCTATCTGTTGATAGTTCATTTGCTCGTCCATTCGTTTTCATGAAAAGTTTGCAGTTAATGTCAGTTCATTTTTTCTAAATAATTTGCATAGTATAAAATATAAATCGAAACTCCAGTGTTAGTGTAATTCTGACCATTTTAACATTTCCATGAAAAGAAATCGAAAGATAACAGATGGCTAAAAAAGCAGTGGTAATTATTTAAATGAGTTTCCATACCTGGCTTTTATTTTGACTATTATGGATATAAAAAAGATATGAATATTGGAAAAAAAAATCTATCCAGAAATTAATAGTTCAAATATTTCATTTTGACAAGAAGTGAACATTTGGTTACTTCGAAGTTTTCAAATTCAAAAAATTAAGGCCCAAAAAACTTACTCAACATGGAATATTCCAAGTTCAAGAAGTGGTGTTTTCATATTTGCGATAGGGAAAGTAGAATTCTCATCAACGAGCTGTTGCTGTAGTTCCATGTTTATTTTATCTTAAGATTAAAAAGAATAAGAAAACAATGGATTGCATTGGTGGTATTACGACGAGAATCGCTATAAGTAAAAAAGTAGGAATGGTCAAAACTGCGATAAAGGAGAAAATATTAAATGAAAAAAATTCGTATGTTTGAAGGAATTTCGGAAGCATGAAGACTTCTAAAAATATAACAGCAATTGCATCAGTTGAAATCATTATAAAATTTCTAATGCATTATTCCTTTCAAAAATGAATAATTTATCTTACAAATAAATGAATCATTTACAAAAATATCTTGAAAATTAAGCTTTTAATTTTTAGGGGAAAGTTCATGGTTGAGTAGTGTAATGAGAGGAGTGGGGAATGAAGAATACTTGAAATTAATCGGAATGGATTAATTAAGAAGTAAATCATAAAAAAGAGAATTACTTTGTAGTTGAGTACATCAAAAGTTTCTCTTAAAAAATTAAAGGAATTAATGTAATTTATGCTCTAAGTGAAACGTATCAAAATGATATGCTATAATTGATACTATGAAGTGAAACTAGAAGAAATGTGAGAATGAAGAAGAAATCGAATTTCATTGGAAATAAAAGAAAGTTGGCGATTAAGTTTTTAAAAAACGCGGTATCGATCAGAGATCTACTTGAAGACTCGACGAGTGTAACAGTTGCATAGTTCGGTGTGTGTTGAAAAGATATTTATTTCACCGATATCTTCTTAGTTTCTTCAACATTTTTCATTTCTGTGTATGTATGTATGCAGGAAGCACACATGAACTGATACAAAATTTGCATTTTTTTCATGTACAAAACATGGAAGTTTGTTATCAAAGTGCTCACCCATAGGCCTCCTTTCGTCATTCCTAGCTCCACACAATGAGAAATAATATTCTTGGACAGAACGAATTCATTTCCTTTACTGATATCCGACTAATGTTCTTCTGCAAAGGCAAACAAATCGGAAAAGGTTGCTATTATGCTATCACGAGCAGTATCTGTGAGTGTTAACTACGCCATGTTGTGTGCTTTTTGCTTGGCTTATGCTAGGCTTCATGTAATATCTTTCATCAGAAGAGCCCATAACAATTAATTACTTAATGGAAGCCAACAGAAACGATAAGTAATTCATTAAAAAAACAGAATCGAAAATGATAACAGAATATTAAGAAAATCAAAAACTAAAAGTCATTAAAAGAAACTAAAAGTTTTATTACATCACTAGCTCAAATAATCTTTTCTTACACCATGATGTGGCAACTAATTGAAACATGTTTGTAACGATCATAATGGATCATGTATTATTTATTAAAATGATAAGAGTGACAATTTCCAGCTAAATATAGTGTCATAATGAGGAAGTGGTCATTTCAATGCTAGTTCGTCACTTCACTATATTTCAACCATATGGATTCCAGTGCAGTTAGCAATTAAGCCCCTATCTGATTAAAATTAGTTCGAAATTTAAAGTTGGAAATGAACTGTTTTGGTTAGTAAATGTAAAAATATTCAGCAAATGAGATCATCAGAAAATACTGAAACGCTAATGCATAACGATATTTTTAATGGAATCAAATTATTTTACATGGCTGCAGAAAAGTTGAGTACACTTTGTGAATGGAAATCTTCACTTCTTTTCCTGAAGCAGACAACTGCTAATATAAACGAAGTACTTTTGTCTTGAAAAAGGCAATGACAAAAGTACTTTGTTGATATTGATGCTCTAAGCTGATTGTTGATTAGTGACTGGTGAGTAGTGATTGGTGATTCAAGCTGATCTCAAATTGATAATGTCAGCTGGTATCTGAGAAAAGCTAAAAGGTACGGATGAACAACAGTAGATTAAGAAAAACTTTGGGGAAGTTTATTCAGCAATGAGAAGGATGTTTGAAGTTAAAAATTGAACAATTTAAGAAAAGCGGTTCATATGAGAGAACTGGTCAGTTGACGCAAATGGTCAAAGTTTAATGCTGTCACACATTACCATCCTTCTGAAGGTTAGCTCACGAGGGACAATTGCTCATCAGGGAACTGAGAGAGCGATGATTTTTGTTCTTAGCAGTCCGCTTCCCTCGTTCTTCTCAAATTGGTGCTCGCATAATATTTATTCCAATTTATTTCTGCTCACTTTCTTGTGGTAACAATCGAGAATATTGCATATCGAACTCAGACAATTTGACCACTTTGAGATTATAAGGATGTCAGTAAGTGTCACTCAGATACTTCTCTTTCCACCTCAAAAAACATTTACGTATAGAGTGTTGCATTATCGAACGATTATCGATTGTTTAATCGTCACACCAATATGCACCTTGAGACTGGCTACTTCGCTGCGTCTCCTCGTACTGACCCGCATCGTCATCCAGCGCGACCCCGTTATTTCCGTCAAATGTTCCGAGAAATGTGACGCAGTGTTATTATGGTCAGGTTGTGATGTTATAAGTGAAAGGAGGTGGGGCAGATAGTTTGACAGTTCAGAGGTAATAGAGGTTAATAAGTTGTGTGAGACAATATGCTGGTGGGAGTGTAGGGAAAAAGAAATGTGGGAAATGTAGTGAGTTATACATAGGTGCTGTCACGTGATAACAGAGGTTAGAAGAAGGTCATGGTATGATGTTTAAGCATTTGTAAGTGGATGTGATATGTAATGCCAAAGAGAGTGTGACAATGACAATGGAGCTGTATTTTAGGTTGAATACAAGTTGACAGTATGGCACCACAAACGGCAAGTGCCAGACGTTTAACCAGTGAAAATTGCAGAACAAAGGACGTAGAACAGGTGGCGGTATGTATTAATTGTGCTGTATTTCTGTATGAACAAATTTCAGGAAATTACTGTTGTGTCTCACTTTATGATACTTTTGGTGCATAGATAGTAAATCGGCCTATTTTCATGTTTTCGAGCTCTGAAAAAGGTATTGCTGTTCTTATGGTTTTCTAATCGTACTAATGAACTGCTACAGCTAATAGTGGAGCTCTACTTTGATTTCTCATGCGTTTTACAGATCATTTAGCAACAAACGATTGCAGATATTTAGTGAAGTAGCCATGCGACACAACGTTGGTGTTTTGGAGTATTCAAGGACATGTCAGGCAGCTGCATCAGGAATGGCCAGCGGTATTCTTGGATTAACTGGAGTATCTGGATTTATTTTTTACTTCGTTTTTGTTGTTTTGCAGGTAATTTGTCTACTGAGTGTGTTTTCAGTATTTACTTTAGATTTATTTCGATGATCATTTGTGTCATTCCCGTTATCTCCTTATTACCCGTTTCAGCTGCAGTCCTATACTGAGTGTGTTTTCAGGCCTTGTTTTGGGAGATGAAAGCGAATTTTGAGTGGCAGAATTACTTCACGAGTCGAAGTTTATCATTGACACATTCGTTAATATCTGGTTTATTTACCTATATCTTATTCTGGGTGTTTTTATATGGTATGGTTCACGTTTACTAAATCCTATATAGCCACTTCACGTAGCTTGAAATAGTATTACTGCATTTGATTAAAAAGATGAATAAGATGATGTTTTGATGTTTGGAATGTGTTAATCTTGTGTACCAAAATTACTTAAATCTATGAAAAATTCATTCATTTGTTTATTTTCATTCCGCAAGCTATTGCTGGAGTTTGTTTTTTGTTCTTAATAAATTTGAAATTTTTAAAATATTCATCAGTCAGTGCTTTACCATAATATTAAAGTATGGTCACTGTTGTATTTGCTTTGTTAACAGTTTAATGAAGTTGTTAAAATCATTTGATATGTTTCTGGGCTTCATTTACTGGACAGATTTACTAATATTTATTTCTGTATGTTGGTCTGATTGTTTAGTAGTTTGTTTGGGACTTCTCTTTAGAATTTCCAGAATTTTTCTGTATTTTACATTATATTGGATCTTTCTAATTCTTCAGGATAATGCTTTATATAAAAGTCATCTTCGAAATTGGCTCTCGGTGACAAATGAAAGCCGTTTATTGATCCTTTCACCAGCTGGTTGTGTAAGTCCATGCATCACCCAATTTTTTATTCTCTAAATTTTGATCCTTAAATCTTGTAATATTTCTCAGGTACTTCCTAACCGCTGTACCTATAAGGTAACAATATTGGGTGTTTTAGAAGCATGTATTATATTCACTGCGTTCATTTTTGATGTTTTGATGGTAAAATTTTTCTTCTTTGTCGTAATAATAGAATATGCTAGCGTTGTGATGAAGAATGTTTTCCAAAGTGCAGCAGTTGCACTGTTATGAATATTTGTCTCATTATTTTCATATACGATGAAATTCAAGGTTACTGAAGTCAGAGCAAAATCCGCTTTCTGCAAATGATGTTAATTAGTAATAATATTAGAGACCAGTAATTGAGCGGTTTCAAAATCTTCAGAGAGCTGCTACTATTCAACATGGTTTTTGTTAATCGAAAAGATAACCACAGTCAACACTCAGACCTTAGCGACTTTTCATCGTTACTTTTATGTTTCCAAAAGTGATCTAAGAAGTGTGATTTTTCTGTGCTCGGTCATTCGGTATTTTGATCGGAGGATATTTGGAATCGTTTTTCAAAATTTGTTTTATATTTTTTATATTTTTCAAAACAGTGGACGTTTAGTTTTTTTTATAGAATTTTTATCGTTTCATTGTTGAAACTTTGTACCTGTTGTTCTTTCTTCTTGGTGAAATTTCTCCAGGACTGCAACTGTTTGCAGGTATAAGGAGAAAGGTCGATCTTTTTCATCTTTGAGGTATACATCATACATTTGTCTTTATTTAAGGCAGGGTACGATGTTGAGGAATAACGACAAAGTGAAACTAAACCGAGCGAACCTTATAAAGAAAATTGAAGAACAGCAACTCCAAATCACTGATTATGAAAACAAACTGAAAGGTTTGGAATATTTTAATAGAAATATAGAAATATCTGAGCTTTAAAATTAAAAAGTGAGAGGGAAAGAGGACATAGATGTTACAAGTGCTTGGAATAAATATATTTTTTAGACTTTCGCGTTAGTGCAGAAATGACTTCTAGTTCCTTAGATGGTGTTATTTCTCCGTCAGGCTTACTATTAGTAAATTTGGTATTTTTCAGACTTAATTCGTGCCTACAAAGGACTTACCGCTGAAAAGAATGCTTTGCAGACAGCATTTAAAGTTTTAGGCTTGCGACAAGGTATGTTGAAATTCTGAAGTGGGCTCTTTAGAGACCATCATTTGAATTAGCAGTCACTCTTCTTGCAGAAACTGCAACTAGCATGCAAGGTAGATCTCATCTCGATGCTGATGCAGAGGAAAAACAATTTTCTGAGGTTTAACATCCTGTTATTTATTGTTCACATTTTTTAAATCAAGTTTTAAATTTAACTGATAAAGTAGCGAAAGCTGTGCACAAAGCTTGTTTGTGCCTGCACTTTTTAATTATCATAGAATGTTTGCTATAATATTATTTTTTCCAGGAAGATCAAGTCGAAAGTCTAAAGAGATCTTTAGAAGTATTAATAACTGAAAAAAGTAACTTGGAAGCAGCTTTTCGATCTGATAGAAAAGCTTTATTGGTAAGTAGAAACATGATTTTCTCCTCCCGATTAAATTAACATTAAACATTCATGTATGTCTAAAATGAATGACTCATTTCTAGCTTCTGTGCGAAATCAAGAATTTCATCTGAGATGAATTTCTGCACAGAAATTGTATAGGCATCACTTAAGTGTGGTTTATGCTTTGCTATCTTTATTTTGATTAAGTGGGTGATTTAATCAGATTTAATCATAAACACTCACCAAAGTCCGAAAGTGAAAATATCTTCAACTTTTTTTGTGGTTTTACAGGTCGAAAATGAAGCTTTGAAGGAAAGATTGACAAAAGCTGCAGATGAGACTGAAGCGCAAGCTGAAAAATTGGAAAATAGGTTGTTGGTAAATTGTTTTCTCGAGAGATTCGATTTTTTTTTTTTTGTGATGAATAATGTTGGTTATACTGCCAATTTAATTATCTCAGCCACTCACTCTTGCAGGTCTGTTCTACTTGTTAAATGTATTTGTAGGAACTACGATCAAAAATAAAGTTAATAGAAGGAGATCGTGAAAAAGAATTGTCAGACCATGGTTCTGTTTTGGCTGCTATTCAACAGCAGTATGCAAAAGAATGTGTGAACTCAGAGCATCTTGAAAAACGGGTATAAAATATTGATTTTTCACTATTTTGATGTTTTTTTTTTACTTATTACTATAATATTTTTACTGTACTGTATTTTCACTGTAGGACTGCAACTGTTAGTAATTTCACAACCTTTCCAATATTCCTTACTTATTGGTGATTATATCGACTTTTAAAAATTGTTCAAAAAATGAAATCGATTGCTTGAAGTTTTTTTCACTGTAATTTCACTTGCAGATAACAGATTTGCATCGGAAGTTGTGTGAGAAAGAAGAAGCATCCAAAGTGCTCGAAATGGACATTGCCTCTTTGAAAGAAGAACTTAGCCGAACACAAACTGAAGTGAAATTTTGGCAGAAAAGAGCTGAAAAAACACCAGCTATACAAGTTCTGGAAAGTGAACTTCAGGATGTGAAGGTGGAACTTTATTTTGTTTTAGGAAACACAAATAATATGTCGGGTAATCTCCAATCTTTCTTTTTTGAAATCATAAATGTAATTTATATCAGGAAAGCAGTAAAAATGAAATTATCGAACTAAAAAGGAAGCTGATGGATACTATGAACACAGAAAGAGAAAGTCGTCTACATGAATTAGAACAAAGGTTATTATGCAGAATTTCGAAGAGTTTCATCGGCAATCTTTAGTTTATGTAAATTCTAATATAGACTCCAGGAAATGTCGATTGAAATTGGCGTTTTTAATAAAATTCGTACAGAACTGCAACAGAAAATGGATCAGCTGGAGAAGAAAAACAAAGCTTTGGAAGATGAGAATGCATTTCTCAAAGTATGTTTGTTTTAAAGAATTCTGGTTTCATGTGAAAGTAGTTTTGAAAACTTGTAAATTCAAGCAAAAATTGCTTGTGGACCCTGTACTGGTCTTTTTACGAAGGGATGAGACGATAACAGTAATATGTGCATAACTCATCTTTCTGATCAATAGTAATACTTAATATAGTAGAGCAAATGTAAATAAAATGAGATGCTTTTGGTTTCAAAACATTATTTTCATTATTGTTCTCAAGGCACTTATGGCAGAGTTTGTACAACGAAGTGGTTTCATTAAACAAACAGCGCTATAAGTCGGAATCCATGAAATTTATTTTCAACACTTTTTATTCCCCAAATGTGTAATGATTTATGTAGTTTCACATAATTCTTGCATCTAGACTTCAAAATCAGCGAAGGAAATTGATGATGCATCTATTGATTTCAAATCATTGGAACAGAATTTCATAGAAATTGCTCAAAAGTTGCGCAATAGTAAAGAGGCGGTCAATTTTCACGGTGCAGCTATTTTGTTTTAGTTTATGTTAGAGTAAAGTTTACATGAATTACACATAGTTATGTAAAAAAGAAACGTTTGAACCCATCGAAGTAGAAAATTCTCCTTGAATAGAAAAAGTTTTTTAATTTTTTTTTTTTTTTTTTGAAATATTTGACTTTTTAAAACTGGTATTTCATTTATTTTGATGATCTTAAGTTAACTACAGAGCTGTTGGGCCTAGAAGAAATTTCGTGTAAACAGAAAAATGAGTTCGAAAAGTGCAAACTGCAAACTGAAGCAGTATTAAATGGCAAATCTATGAAGGTATGGAGTTTTTGTTTTTTATTTATCTTTAATATATTGCGTTAGTTTCGTTTGTAATTAGGAAGTTCATTTACTTTTTTTTTTTATTCATTTACATAGAAAAGTTTAGAAAACTGAACGAAGCAAATTCTGAAATTACCGGTGAATAAAACTTCTATAGAAGCTTATTTATCAGAAATTAGACTGCTTATCGCTGTCGTGGTGTAAATTGATTCGAGAATTGATTGCTTTCGAAAATCGTATATAATGAAAAATCTCACATAAATATGCATATAAAAAAATGATTGGTAATTTTGCCATACTTGATTTTTTCATAAAAAACACTAAATATACATACTATTTTGAAATGCAGAATGAAGTAAAAGCATGAATGGAAGTCGAACAGATAGGTAACTGTTTTTTTTTTCTAAATTCACATGAATACAAAGTTGGTGTTAACTGTAGAGTTCTTTGTTATAGAAGAGGTTTTGTTTGAATAGAAACGACGTTGTGAAACTGTAAAAGATAAGTGCGACAGTTGAAGAACAATCAGCTTTCAGTGCTTTTAATTAGACACCAAATATTAGTATAAACCAAAAAGCTTCATAATTTCAGTCTTTCAGGTTGATGTGTTGGAAAATGCAGGAACACTATATACATTATCTCTGTTACCTGTGAACGACTGTTCATCTTGTGCAGCAGCAGAAGGAGATTTGCGACATATGCGTGCAACAGTGGCCGAGCTTCACGAGAAATTTCATTCTCTTGAAATTGACCATGCGAATGTAAAAAGCAGCTATGAAGAAGTGAGTTTTTACAAAAATGATTATTTAATCACACTTTCCAAAGATTTAATTTTGCTTTAGAGAAAAATGAACTATGTTGCATTGTGTCGCAAATATGTTTCCATCGACTTGTCTGTTATATAAAATATACTGTAGAAAACAACTCAACTGCAACTAAAAATTGTCGAAATGGAAAAAGCGCAAGAAAGTTCGGCTTCTGATTTACGCAATCAAATGCATCAAAAGGGTTAGATGTCATTTCAATTCGTCCATCTCGCTTTATTTTCTGCTAGTCATATCACAGCACGTAAAAAAATTTGCTTTCTTTTTGTAACAAGTCTCATTTTTGCATTCATTTTCCAACTTCTTATTCTTCATATTTTACTCTCTTTAGTTCCAACTTCTCATTTATATTTTACTCCTTTTTTTTTAATTTTTTAAAAACTTTTTCTCCATTCTTTTATACTGCAGTATTTTTGGGTTTTCCCATTAGTTCTTATTTTCGCTCATGTCTTCAGTGGTCGAAATGGAATCAGAGATGCAAAAGCAACGCATCCGAGCTCTGGATATTCTTGCAGAAAAAGAAAATGAGTTGGAAATTACGAAGTAAATCTCTTTCTCTTGTAGAATAAAGATGGGTTTTATTTTGAGAATATTAAAGCTTATCTTTTAACTTGACATAACATTTAATTTTAACATTTCAGAGATATTGGCATACATTTTCTTTCATGAATGAATAACAGTTTCATTCGGGAAAAATTCATTTTTGAAGTGAAACTTTGGTAATTAATTATGCGTTTTCTTTTCTGCCTTGGAAAAGCTTACTGAGTGAAAGTTAATATTTATTCATGAATTCAAGAGCTATACTGGCATCTATAAGAAGTCAGCCAAATGTTGATCCAGTAGATCCTCCACAAGGTACCTCGTTCCGATCTGTGAAATATCGAAAAACTTGCTCACACGACTTATTTGGAAGTAACGCTTCTATTGATGAGCGACGAACTGGAGGTATTTTTTAAATATTTCCTTTTCGAGAATAATTCCTTCAAATGCATTTCGAAAATACCCATTTTTTTATTTCCTTCATGAGGTCTTCCGTTAACATTAGATCATTTGAAATATTGACAGTTTAAAGCTTTCTTATATTTTTTTTCATGCTATGATTTCTTCTTTTAACTAAGGTAGCTTTTCGCTTTATTTGCAGAAATTCGAAATGTAATCGATCATTCATCAAGTGATGTCGACTCGTGCTCCAGTGTTGTGGATGAGCACCATTTAGGTAAATCAAAAGTACTACATTAACATTTATTTCATAATTGCGAAACATTATTTATATGGTTTCTCAATTTTGGTTTTTGTAACTGTTTTAGCTCTAGGATTTTTCACTGTTTCAAGTTTTTGCTCTCGATTTTTGATGTGTAATTTTTATAACTTAGAAAGAACAAAAAAAAAAAACTTATACATGATGCAGATTATCATTATTTGAATCGGTTCAATTCATTCGTTTTCTAGTGATTTATTCTTTAATATCGTGTATAACTACTACTATCATTTTTGCAGTGATATTTAATAATTTTTCATTATTTTCTTTTTCTCAATTCTGTTACTACTTGTGATTTGACGATTCTCTACATTTTTGAGTAGAACTTCAAGTTTTAGAACGTTTATCGACTTCACCGAATAATGCACAAGTTCTATTCAATATTCCTGGAATTACAACTACCGCAGAAACTCGCAACATATTTTACGAGCAACAACTTGTCAGAAAAGATAAGCAAATAATCGAATTAAGGTACTTACTTAATTTCCTCATTAAATGGATTGTAGGTATGGCTAAATGCTTGCTTATTTCTTTTGAAGTAATTCTATTTAACTTTAGTTTTATTATTCCCACTTTCCCCAAATAATGCAAATTATTACTATTTCTTAATCAGAAAAATCTCTTAATTCATTTTCACATTACTGTTTAGTGTATGAATACGAGTAAATAAAACAAGGTGGAGTAAACTGATCTTTAGAAATGCCATGCATGTAGCAGAATTAAATGCTCGCGATATTCAACAAGCAGCTCTCACTAAAGATTTGCAACATTTCGAAATGGTGGAGAAATTGAAGGATGAAATCAGGGTTTTAGAAGGTTGATAATTTCTAATAAAATTTCGTATTCTGACTTTTCAGTTGTAATTCCACATTGTTGATGTCAGTTAAGTTTACCTCATCTATTTCTATTTATATCAGTATGCACAACGATTTCTTTATCCACTTTTTTGTAACAAATGAAATTAAATATTGAAAATTCCTATCACATGTCAAGTTTCATTCCAGGAAAACTGAAATTTTTAAGCGTCGATTCAAACATGGAGTACTTACGGAATATTTTCATTCAGTTGCTGCACTGTGATAATTCTTCCGGTCGTAAACATATTTTGAAAGCAATAGGAGCTGTATTGAAATTAAGTGTGGGTGAGATGCGAGCGATTGAAAGACATAAACTGTAATGGTACCATTAAGGGATTGATTGGTGATAATGTAACGATGCATGTACTGTAGAAATAGGAATAAAAAGAATGCGTCATTCTTGTGGTTCTTAGTGATTTTTTTTCTTTAACAAGGTTTTAGCTTCTCTGCTTTTATGCTATATAATATTTTTTAATTTGTTTTATTAAAAGGTATTCGTATTTTTGTACTTGTTGCTGCCCAACAGTCGTTAAGTTATTACTGTTCCAAAAATTTGCGATTGAATTCCAAATATTTTAGTAAAAAGAAAATCTTCGAAATTGAATTTTATGTGTTTTAGACATTTATATTCTGCGAACCTCAAGTTTTGGATTTTTTTATTTCGCTTGTTTTTAATGTTTTGAGTCTGTTGTATGTTGCTTTTATTCTTGATTGATCTTTGTTAAGGTTGGTGTTTTTGAATGTAAATGACCCGTGTTGCAATCATTAGAATTGAATTCAGACAATTTAATTTTGTAATTATTAGTTTACGTTGGAATTGCTTTTGGTAGATGACTAAAACCGACAATACAAACGGAAAATGCATTGTTGCTTTCTCCCTTGAAGTTTATGAGCGAATCAAAGAAGCAAGTCTTTTCGCCTTAACACAAACCACTGTTCTGAAATGAATTTCAGTCAACATATGCCGAGAAGAGGTTTTACAACCGCGCTAATGCTTAAGTTACTAGGCTTCCCGAGGAGAAGCATTTGAAAAACTGCCTTCATTGTAGTGAAACAATGATTCTTTTAACAGATAGTTAAAGCAAACCAAATCATATATGTCGAGAAATGAATGCCTGATGAGCTAGCCGGCAGGGATTACTGCTAGATGTTATAGATAAGAATATAACATTTATTACCAATTAGCAGATCATTAATTTCATTCATTTCAACTAATTTAGCGTGATACAGCATGGAATTTCATTTCGGCTTATGTGAGAACGGAATTGTTAGGGCATATGTTCCAGTACTACTCACCTTTGTTGCTGTTATCGACGGCATAGCTGTATTTTCTGAGAGATTAAATATTACATAAAAATTCTATGATCCTAATTTATCCAAATCAATGAATCGTGATATTAAACTACTAATTAAGAAGGGATGCTATTTGTATCATATCATGTACAGTTTCGTGATGGCAAAGTGATAATAAAGTATTACTATTATATTTAGGTAATGAACAACTGATTAGTGCATGCATCTCGTTTTACCGAATATGTTAGGAATGCTTTGGTGTGTTAGAATAAATATCAGAATATTTAATTAACGCAGACGACATTTTGTGCTTTAATGCTCGATAGCTAAGCAATACCTCCATAACTTTAGTGATAAGAATTTAATTTCATTATATAGGCTTATATAATCTTGAAAACATTAAAGTATTCCGGAATGGTAAACCGGATGGTATCAACTGTATTGGTGTATCCTAATCAATTGAACCCGTAACAGATAAGTTTCCTGATTAAAAAGGGAAAAGAGAGAAAAAGGGAAAACTCCTTCAGAAAACTGCTCGTACTAGAATACGATGTTTGCTGTTCATATAATATTTATTTTGGGTTGAAATTGACAAAGTTTGAAATTCTATCAAGTTGAGCAAAGGAAATAAAAGTGCGATAAATCACTGACCACTGGGAATCACTTTAATAATAGTAATTCGGGAGGAAGTTGAGAAATGCAAATTATAATGAAAGTGGGGAAGGTTATTCCGTTTTAAATGTTTGCAAAAAGGGTAGAGAAAGGAATAAATCTTTAGATCGTTATCAACACAACAAAGTGGAGTTAATGTAGCACCAATGTAATTTGTAAGTCATTGTGATTTACATGAATCAGAAGGATAAATTGTGTTGAAAGTCTAATAAGTAAATAAGTATTTTATGTTGTGATATGGATTCAAAGACTTTTAAGGAGGTGTGCATGGCAATTTGTTAGGCAAGTTCGTGCTATTGTACGATGGTAAGTAACGTTGGATGCAGAAGTGTATCATCGAGTATTGTCACTCTGTCTGTTGCAGAAGAGTGACAAAAAACGTCGGACTTTCAATCACTGCGTAATCAAAATTTTCTCCACAATATTTGTTTCATAAGGCATCGCAAGAACTTGCAACTCTTATATCCGAAAATTTATAGTTTAGTTACTTATTGATCAAATGAAGTTCAGTTCGATCCCTGCATAACATAGTGATCGTAATACTCAGTGTATTGCCACATTGTTTCGCTTAATTCTTTTCGAAATGTGGTCTAATTTCATTTTTTTTTTAAAAAAATAATGGTCCAAGGAACTTATATAAGTCCTGTAATAAAGAATGTGTTGCTATAAGAAATGAGTAATTGCTTGTTGTTATCAATATTTCCAGTTATTATCAAAAGAAAATTTTTCAGCAAGTTTTTTTTTTTGTAATCACTATTAACCTTTCTCAAGCAAGATTAGGAAACAGTTTTCCTAACATCCGTTTGCGCTTACAAAAATTTGTGAAATAGAAAGAAATAATAAAGTCATTGAGTTCGTGTCATCTAGTAAAGTTTTTGTCGAACTGCTTTAAGTTATATTCATATCTGTTGAATTATTGTTGTTGATCGAAGTGAGAAAGTACAAGAGTGCTAGCAACAATAAAGAAGACATAAGCAGTGTGACAACTGCTAACATTAGGACAAGCAAACATTTATGATTTGTGAAGTTGTCCTTTTTGATCAGAAGTACGAGTGTTTTTATACACAATCTTCTACTAAAATCAGTTCAGGAGGTAACTGTTTCATCTGGGATTAGTTATTCTTCACATTTATTTCCTCTATTCGTTACTCTCAAGCCGAACTATGTTTCGTTTTAATCCATTAAGCTTCATTTCAGCATATTTTGACCTGCCTTCATTGTAGAGTACTAATTTCCATACAACATGGCGAAGTATTGTGCTAGCTGTCATTTTATGCTACTTCAGAGGTATGCTCACTCTTTAAAAAATCAGACGACTTTTTTCTGTAGCTTACATTCATAATAAAAAAAAAAGCTACTAACGTTTACAACTATTTTAGACAGTGTTCGTTTTCCTGATGAACGACTGTGGGCTGTATGCAATATTCGAAAGACAAACAGTAAGGTTTAAATCTCAGTTGGAAAGTGTATGAAAAGCTCTGGCGGAAAATGTCTTGAGATATTTGAAAGACAGCGCAGTCTTGCCCACTTCCAAGTTCTATCGGAGCTGTTAGTATCGATCCTTTATTTCATTGTGAAATTTTCTTCAGCTTTCTTTTTTTGTAAGAAAAAAGAATTGGAAAATCAAGATGGCATCCTCTTGCTCATCTCAAAAGTTAGTTGCAAGCCAAGATACGTTTATCAATCGTTAACCAATTCAGTTTTTGTTCACTCTCTTTAGGAAACATACGATAAAAACCCATGAAAACAGTTCATAAATATATAAAAATAAATAGACATCAGTAATGTTCTAATTCTAATTTAAGTTGAGTCGTTGATTTTATCGCTTGACTTCTTCATTCGACTTAAGTCATTCCTCGATATATTCTCTTCACATATCTTTTGACCAGCAGTGGGCATTTTGTACTGTCCGGCGATCTTTAACTTAACCGTCGTGACTGTCCGTGAACGTTTGGCATTTCTTGCATGAGAGAAAATTTTATTTGTTCCACTTACATCCACGTAGATTCTGCGCACGAAACACTCAATCAATTAAGTTTCCCTAAAACATTTTTCCTTTTCAATCTAATATCGTTTATTCCTATTCTTCCTCCTAAATTTATATCAAAATCTCGCGTTACAGTTGCGTTAAGCTCGTTATGTATCTTTTCGCCATCATCAGAATCAATGAGAAAATCATGATGTTTTGATCATTAGAGAATAAAATTATAATTTTTAAGTACTATTTGCTATGTGTTAATTTCTAAACAATGCAGTACTCGTGTCCTCTATATATCTATATATGTATATATATAGATATAGATAGATATGACTGATATATCCGGAATCATAAGATATTCTACGAATGAACAGAATAGTTGATGTGCTGCTCATGCATGACATATAGCGCTATTCACAAAGGTTTTGAGATTCTTGCAACTCATCACCGGAACCTGCCGCATTTCGGTGGCTATTAATAAACTCTTTGTGCTGAATGCCTCTGTTTATGTGCCGGAAAATGTTTCTTCTTCCCAGCCCTCAAATAGTACTCCACAAGCGACTTTGCACCATTTGCTTTCCCACGTGAATTACTGACAACATGCACATTCTAATTTCTGGCCTCTAAATGAAACCAATTAATTGATCTGCTTCGCTTAGATTGTTCAACCGTTATGTGATAGTAGCAAAATGCCGACCCTGGCAGGACTCGAACCTGCAATCTTCGCCTCCGGAGGGCGACACCTTATCCATTAGGCCACAGGGCCCATCTCGAATCTCTCAATAGTTCGAGACAAGAATATTCCTTTATCTCCCTCATTCTTAATTATCATCGTCGATATTCATAAAGGGTCAATCTAATGACCAGTTTAACATATTGTCACATACATCTCAACGTTACTGTAAAAAGAGAAATACGTCAAAATGATTATAATCAAAATGGACCTCAATGAAAAATGAGCTCAAAAATTTAAAGGATATTTCGAAAATACTGAATAATTATAAATTGATGAACTGAGGAAATTAATCGGTTATTATTTAGGAGATTGAAATTCGTAGTTGAACAGCTACTATTACCGAAGGATCGTAAAGAGTTGGAGTCAATTTCATATATATATTGGAATAATATCATGATCCACCACTATTAATTATTGGCACACTGTCGCACAGAATGTTTTGTCAGAAAGTGATCTAACCTAAAGACAGATAAAATTAGAACTTAGAATTGGTCGATTATAATTTAACTATTGATCAATAAACATGGCCTCAGTCTACTTCTATCACCGTACCGCCACTTTTAGCCGCCATCTTCTGTGAGCGGACAATTTGCCCTAATCGGTAATTTTCGGGTATGCGTAAAAGTTACATAATGGTAATATCATACAGCATACGACAGGCTTGAGAAATCTATTTGTGCTTGGCCACTTATGAATTATGTTTTTTTTCTCCAGTATAGGCGCCTTGCTCATTTTTTTTTTTTTTTTTTTTTGGTATTAGGAACTGTTTTTTTTTTTTTTTTTTTTAAAGAACTGTTTTTCGTTGGTATAGATGAATATTATTTCACAGGTTATTAATTAAGGAAAAAGATAGAATAATAGAAAGTTCTGTCAGCCAAAGTTTTCATCGAAGTTTCGATTTCTCAAGTTGACAATAATGTAATTGTTATACATTATTTACATATTTTTTCTTTTATTTGGAATTTTTTTTGAAAATTTTTGACTTGAAAGTTTCTTCGCCAATGACTAAAATGAAGAGGGCGCTAAATTCAAATTATTTTTGCGATTTTCCTGTTCGCTGAGTTTTGAATTGTAATTAATAGCTTTATAAATGAAAGAAAATGAAAGAGCAGTTGCAATGAATGAAGAAGCGCAGGTTGTCGATCGCTACAACTTAATGCTGCGCATAAGGATCGCCAATGAGGTAATAATTTCCGCTTGATGCATTTCTTTTTTTACCGAACAATTGTTAAAAAACTTTCTTTGTTTAATATCAACAATTACTGCGAAACAGTAAAACGTTAAGGAGCAGTAAACAAAATATCAGTAAACATTATGAAATATAATAAAATAAGTATAGCAGATTAATAAATTTAAGTTCAGTAACATTGAATTTGTTTTATGAAATGAATAATAAGTAAGGAAGCAGACTTCGGATTCTTAGTCTTAGCTTGGAGATCTATATGACACACCGTCATTTATCGTGTAGCTTCCATTAAATCACAGATCAAAAGGATTAATCCGCTGTTGGCATTTTGGACGTTTTTTTAAATGTTTATGAGATTAAGTGACAGTAAAATACTTTCATCGTGACTGAATCACATGAATTCATTGTATTTTTTACTTACTTTCCGGTATAACTTGTGAAAATACATAATTATTTTCTGATTTTGCAGCTTTCGATGTTTGATGATGCGAGACAGAATTTTCAAATACTGATTAGAAATTATGGTAAAGAACTGACTAAGGAGGAAAGAAATTTTTTTGCAGTCTTCTACAAGGTTTGTAAAACTTGAATTCTAAATTTTGAAATACAGATGCAGGCTTATAAAGTATCTTTTTTAAAAGTTATACATGATGTTGCGTTTTGAAATTAACTTGCAAACCTGTTTTCATTCGCCCGAGAACTTCATCAATATGGTTTTCATAGTTCAAATGTGTAATAATTTCCGTGGAAGTCCTTAAAAAACAAGCGTAATTAGAAATTATTCATTATTATGGTTCAAACTTGTCCACTAATTTTAATCTCTACTGATCGAATTTGGTATATATATATTTAGAGTTTATTGGACAAATTTCGCAAAGAATATAACATGTACATGGATCTTCAAAGAGAAATACCACGAAGAGAAATTCTTAAGCACCGCATTTTACGTGACAATATGTACCGAGCACGTTATGAAGTGGTCACCATTTGTAAAGAAGTGATTGTAAGCTGTGATTCATTTTATAACTAAATTCTACAGAAGAAGCAAAATAATGCTGGCCCATGAAGGACATCGTACTAATGCTTGAAAGTGCTTTGATACTCCCAACTCTTTTTTGAGATTTCTCAGATGAAGAAGACTCTTAAAACTAGATGAGAATTTTGTTGCTTTTCTAGATTACGACCTGAGGAATCGTTTTTCTAGTGTATGAAGATTCGTTTTTGTTGTTGATCGTCAAATTGCTGTGATCATAGATCATTCCATAAGTTGAATAGTTTTCCAGAAAAATTCGATGATAACGAGCAGACAATCCTCTTAGTTTAATAATGTTAACTTATTCGTTTCCATAGTTGCTAAGGAATCGAGAAGTAATGCAGATTTGTTCAACTTACAGAATGATTTATTAAATAATTATTGTTAACAAAATTTTATTAATTTACATTTCTCTTGTCCACAAAAGAATCAGAAGCTTCTTTCTAAAATTAAGTAGTTGTTTCTAATAGGCGAGAATGGTTCATAAGTCTGAAAATGTTTACTTAATAGGATATGATCGATCATGGTATACTAGACACGAAAAATATTGAACTGAAAATTTACTTTATAAAACTTCGTGCTGATTATTTTCGATACTGGTCAGGTGTCGTAAGTGAAGAACAATTTTTTGGTAAATTTTCCATTAAATTCTTTTTTTTTTCCATTTACAAAAGTAGTAAATTTGACCACAAATGATCGCTAGCAAGAGATTTAAAGATCAGTTCAGGCATGCTATGCTTAAGCACAACTTTATATGAGATATTTGTCGCCATGTGAACATTTTCCATCATATCTGCGATATTTTCCGTTCCTACTGAAAATAAGGGGTGGTTCTAGGTATACGTAAACGTGCCGAGGATTCTTATCAGCTGGCACTTGAGCTAGCAGACAAGAAGCTCAAAAAATACCATCCTATACGTTTAGCTCTGATGCTCAACATGTCTATACATTATTATGCTGTACCGTGTGAACGTATCAAAGCTTTGCAGTTATCTATGCAAGTATGCTATTATTTCAGTTTGTTTAAAAGAAAATGCTGAAATGCTTACTACAAATATCCATCCGCTTATTATAAAGAAGTAATTCGCGACAGCAATTGCAGGCAGTTACTGAAGGCAAAGATCATATTAAAAGTGACCCAGACATTCGTGAGGTGGTAGATTTACTGCGAGATAATTTAGACGCTTGGATGGCAGATCTTGGTCCTAAGGAAGTGCATGAATTGGAGATTCTGGAAGGAGCAAGAAAGTGGCATGGTGATTATCGCAAAATGTACTTTAAATTCATTCCTTTTCTCCCTTCAAAACTTTCCCAATTCCTTCCGATTTCTCCTTTCTGTCACTTTCAGAGAGAGCTTTTCTATCTCAGACTGTTCTAGAATGACATTTTACCTGATGTGCAAGTGATATTGTAAACAGATGTCTAGTAAGCACAGATAATAACTATCATTCAGATTATATTATCTATGCTATATTATTCCTTATTTAGCAACTGGTGACAAATCCATCGTTCGAAATGAAAAAATTTACGAAACAGCTTTGTTACTTTTTGTACCAGTAATTTTATAAATCTTATAGGGAAGGGAGCAGCAGTACCGTCCGCACATTTAAGGCGTCGTTTATCCGGAGAAGAAAGTCCGAAATATAACACTCCAGTGCTAACACGTCAACGATATTTCACTATTCCACAACCGTATGTACGATATAATAAGTTCGATGACATTTATGTTTGCAATTATGTCCCTCTAAAGCGAAATCCTTCCGTTTTTTATGAACCACTGTTCGAACCTGAAACGATATATCCTGCTTCGCACAAAAAAAAAGTTCCTTTAACTGTGACCGAAAGCGCTATTACTAAATCAAAGAGTACCGCAGCTGAACTGAAAAAGACTCAAACGGAATTACAAGTCACTACATCCGTAGCAACCACCTCATCCACTGTTTTAGCAGCAATTGGATTATTACCTTCGACCGCAGCTGACCAGAACACAAACTATACAGAAGTACCAGAAAATATACATCTTTCCACATCTCATATAAAGCCTGTAGAGTCTACAGTTTTGTTTGAGGATGCATCACACGAAAAACACGTATCGCTGCCAGACCCTTTTGAAGGAATACTTCAACCGATCCTTAGTTTCTCGTCCACACAGTCCTCATCCACCACATCTTCGTCCACACAGTCGTCGCTGGATGAATATAATGAAGACGGCAACGGTAACCCTGAACACAGAGAAAACCGCCCATCGATATGGACTAGTGCACCGCGTGATATTCCACAACGTAGACTAACTCCAACAACAATAGATCCTATAAGCAGGCTGTCAAAACGACTTCGAAGTTTCGAATCTAGAATGCTATCTATAAAGAGAAGCCAACTTAGATTGGAACAACTATCAGCGGAACGGGGTCAACAATCAAACGAAGGAAATGATTCACCTCTGGAACTACGCTGGACAGCAGGAGTGGCTGCTAATGAAGAACCGCAAACAACTTGGAATATTATAACTGCAGCCACAACGTCATCGTTTCACGTTCCTCAGCAAGACGTGACAAATGAGATTTCAGTTCCTTCTTATACTCAGATAACAAATGAATTTAGTACTGTTGAGAATTTACAACCGAAACTTCAAAATATACCCACTGACAATCGCAATGCTGAATTGCAACAACGGTCCACTATTTCCTCAAATCAACCTGATATGCTTGCTTTCCTTCCGAAAATTAAGTCCTTTGCTTCACATCAACAACGCCAAAATATCTCAGAGACCGAGCCAAAAGATTCTTCTACGTCTTCTGGAAGCTTTGTGTTTCCAGAATCTGCACCACCAACTCCACCACCACAAGTTATTTTCACACCATTCGGTCCGAAAATCGTTGGAAACTTTTCGCCAACTTCGTCGCTTGAAGGAGCTGTTGCAGCGGTATCACCTCCTTTGTTAGAGAATAAAAAAAGATCGAGAGTTGTAACCTTTAGTGAAAAGTGTACTTACTGGCCTTTGCAATCAGCAGTAGAAACAGGAAACTGGAACAGACGATTTTCAAGGCAAAGAACAAGACGACAGAGATCATCAATTCGTCCACCTCCTCTAAGATCACCAACACCAGAAATAGAAGAACAGGTGCCTTGTCTGCCCCGAAGTAGCCAAGAAATCGCAGTGGTTCCTCAGCAAAACCTAAGTCCTTACCAAACCTCATTTTATCGACAACAATTTCACAGAAAAGGCCAGGCATTAAAGGGTCGTAGTCGACGCAAGTTATCACAACGGAAACTACTTCGGCGTTCTTTTTCAGCTCCTCGAGAGGGTGCTACATGGCCAATTTCTTCCCTAACACGAGAACCGCCTTATTTCATCTATATGGTTCTACGACGAGCTTCTGCTGTAAGTGGACAAGCCTTTGGCAGGCGATTTCTGTCGGCACATTCAAGTGCTGAGGATTTGTATGACGAAGCTGCTGAAAAGGCCTTTCCTGATCCATGGGCTCCGAGAGGAGCACGGACGATGCATAATACCTTTCCCATTACACCGTGGTATCCAAATGAGAAACCTCGTGTTCCATGGATCCGACATCAATGGCTTTACAGAGGAGCAGGAAATGAAGAAAATGTTTCAAGTGGAATGCAAGACTAGACAACATTCTTTTATTTTTCGGAAAACTAACTCAACAAGTCCATCTTAATTCGTCATATGTCAATAACTGACTTCAATTAACCTATTCTGAACAAATAACAGCAGCATAACGAAACAACAGTGCTTTTATTAGATCATTTAGAAACAAAAATATTGTGAAAAGTACCACTAATATTTTCTGGAATTCACTTGTTAAGTTACCGGAACTTTGCTGGCGATTAAATAAGGAACGAATTACTTAAGCGTAAAAGAAAAAGTATTCAGTGAGAAGATAATCAAATAATAAAATGAAGAATTAAAAAAATATATTTTATAATTTTGATAAAAATCATAATGTTTGTAAATGAAACATTCAGTGAATTTTAATCGACGTTAAAGATACTCACTCAGCTTACGTGAAGAGCAAAGTTCTGGCAAGTAAAATATAATACCTCATTTATTAAAGTGCTTGGTTGGGACCGATTTCGATACATCCAGCAAGAGTTAAGAATTGATTTAAATTCATAATGTAGCATAGTGCAGCTTAAAAAAGAATATTTTAGTACTGTATAGTATTGCTTATGAAGCAAGAAGAATGGCGGTATAGTACAAACTGATTTAATTTTAAAGTAACGCATTAGTCAGTATAATACAATGCCGTGAAATGACTACAATGAATTGGCTCCAATTGATTATTTTCTCAGAATATGAATTGTTGAATGAGAATTAATTTAACAGTAATCATTAGAGAAGCTCAACACCTCCCTCACTTTCTTACTTTTTTATTCATCAGTGGTCTATTGCTGCTCAGTGTTTACACTTATTTTAAAATGTATATATCTGCTTGTTTATATCTATTTAGGTATGTCGTTCATTATATCTTCTTCTATAACACTTTTAGTTTTATGATTTATCATTTACAAATTCTATCATCTTTGATTATAAGCATAATCCTTCATTGAATGATGTGATTCAGATTATTTTGCTATTCTGAAAAAAATATTTGAGATGGAAAAATCACAAGAAAGAATGTACTTGAAACATATCCAATACAAACTCGTTACTTCTAGCACAACGTAAGTTTGCTGTAAATTAAGTCGTGCAATAATTTATTTCATTTGAATTTTAGGAACTTGTAGAAATGATACACTGTCTTTTGCTGGAATTGAAAAGTGAGTATCATGCAATCACAGTAGCGTTCAATTAGAAGTGTATTCAATGTAAGTAAATCAATTTGGTGCAATTAAATATACATCCTTATTATCGGTAGCCAGCATCAGATAAAGATGTTTCACATTCTAGCGACATATACTTACATTAGAATTTTTGTGAAACTTGCAAATATCTCAAATCACTGAGCCTCATTCCTTTATTTATATTCGACGAACTCTGAGATTCATTCTATGGCACTGTCATAAATTGAGCCACATCAATATGAAGACTTCGGTAGTATTACAGTACTGATTAAAAGTATCTTCCAAAATTATCAGTAATCGTGGACCAGAAATGTACTTCATGATTGATAAAGTCAGTAGTTTCAGATTATGAACTACGAGGTTCAGTATTTTTAAAGAACACCTGTCTTATTTCTTAGCAAATACTAGAATGTTATTAAAACTAACTCATTTGTTACTGATAGCAAAATACAATTTTGCTATTTTCAATTAGAAACAAAAATAAAAGTAACTATTAAAGAAATTTTTTGAGAACAGATTTTAGTATTTCCTAAAGAAATATGGAAACGGATATCAGTTTTTGCTCCTCTTTCATCTTATTCTTTTGTTAGATTTATATCAGAAAATCAAAATGTTAGTCTTACTACTATTTGTATTACTACGCAAATCTTTACTTGACTACATGTTAACCTTTAGCATTTAAAGATATTAGAATTAAATAAACCGTGCAGCATCATCCTAGTTTCTCTACGATCATTACAATTTTTTGTCTTCACTGCAGTGTTCCCATCTGCAAACTTTTCAATTCGTATTATGCATGACCATACTGTTTTATAGCGAATTTTTTGTTTAACCCTAACAGAGAATTACAAAGATCATAAGAATTTCATATGTTTCTCAACTATATTCTTCTAATATACGTCTGGAACATTGAAATTTGAATATTTAGAGGCTAAGTATTTTTCGACTGTCGATAGGTAAAAAAACTTCAAAGCGATTTCAGTCATTTAATTCGCTAGTCTGTGAACAAGGAGGTTTACATTATTTTTAACGAGTTCTGATAATGGTTGATGTTGTGTATGTTTATTTCAATTTTCAAAGTTATTAACAAAGTGAAACTGCGATTAGTATTATGTTTGGTAAAACAAAAATTAACGATTCAGATTATTATGCTTCTATCTAGCAATTAAAGAAAAGCATAAGAAATGAATTGATTTCGTGTTTGCAAACGTTTATTATCCCAACAATAAATTTGAGTGATAGCAGTTATAAGAAGATAGTCAGTATTTACGACACAAAGATATAGTTTGTGAGATTGTAGATTATATTCAGAGGATATTAATAATATACCCCTGGAAAAACACGCATTATCAGTCAGTGATCTGCAGACAGAGTCAGACTATGAGACTTTATCAATTAACAAAAAACGGTGTACTTATTTCTTAAAATGTTTTCCGATTTAAGCTAATTTTTGCAAGAGTAGAAATGGAAAAAACTGTATGAATAGAGCACTTGCGCCTTGCTGATTCCAGTGTTCTATGTCTCCACTTCAAACTTACATATGAAAATAACGTGATGCTTACAAATAACATTCATCAATGTATAAGAAAATACGCAACAGTTGGGCAGTGATGAATGTGTGGCAAACGTTAATAATATTATCTATATATTTATCAATGATAATATTATCAGAAAAAATTTTAGCACAATGCGTGTGAATGAAACAATGAGAGAGTTGCGCATATTCCGCTTTTGCTTGTCAACGATACACCTAATTTAATCGAATGGAATTTAATCGACAATAGCAATTACTACAATATTTCTAGGAATGAATGATAATGATCGATTGTTGCTCAGTCTTTTTCAGAAATGGGTGGAAAGGAATTTCTTGAGATTGTTTGAGAGATTAAAGAATTACAAACAAAGAATTTTGGGAAAAAATCAAAGTTTTTTGTTAATAATTGTAATTTTCAAGACATTTCCATCTGGCAATGGACAAATTGCTCATTATAGCGAGCAGGAATGCATGTTATTGTGGATTCGTCCAAATTACATAGAAACGTGGCAGCAAATGGACTTTGTCAAATTATTGTTTTCCCTTTATCTTTTCACAACCAATGGTGACTTCATCGGATTACCTCATGTCGAACCTTCTGGTAATCAACTTTAATTAAATAATTAAATTTAATTAAACTTCCATTAAAAGTTTTAATTGTACACAGTATCATAGATAGAGTATAAAATGTAATGGTTTACTTAAAGTCCATTCTATGCTATATAATCTGTGTATTAAAAACTTTTTCCCTATAATAAAATGTGAAACTTGTAAGAACCAAGCAAAATACTCAAAGCTGACTTAAAAATTTCCAAAAAAAAAAGACTACTTAACATTTCAGTGCAGCGTAGTTGGATATGAGCGAATTTTTCACACCGAAGAATCCAACGGTGAACAAATATTTGATTTTGAGGAATCAACTTTGAATTGCGGTCAATTAGAACAATCGCTGCAAAAAGCACTTAAGGTTACTGAAATCATGTCTCAGCCAATTTTTGTCGTCTTTTCCAATTTGCAAATTTGTCGTCTTGTACTAATTACAGAAACTTCAGCTAAGAAAAATAAAACTAAAAACAGTTCAAGTGAAAAGATCTTCAACTCTCAAAAAATCACAAAAACATGGATTTCAGCGATGGTAACAATTGTGAGTGAATCGCAGTTACTCGATAAGCTAACCTTCGACTTTTGTTAGTTTCATATTCCCGTAGCTCAGTGAGAATTTGTGAAAATTCCTCGATGAGGTTATAATTTCGGACACTTTCTCTAAACATAAAATAATTCATTAAAAAGTAGTGTAAACAAAAATATAGTTGCATTGTAGCACGGTCAATTTTGCGTTAAATCGATTCCATAAAGGTTTTGAGTACGTTCAAGCTTAAGCTTAATAACAATAGCAAACGACAGATTGTTTGGAAGTTGAAGACAAATAACAAATGCATTACGGTTTTAAGCTTTTAATATGCAATTTGTTAACATTGCTTTGTTCCAGTCTGAGAATTATTTTACATCCAGCGGAACCAAGTTGTACCGGCGTTTATAAATGGTAAATGTATTCTTTCCTGGCAATTTCCTAAACAATGCCAAAATTGTGATAAAGTGAAATCTGCCAAACTACTCATATTTTTTCAAATCTATATAGAAACAGGAAAATTATTTGATGAAGGCAGCGTAAAATTCATAATCTAAATAAAAATGGGACTAAGCAATGAGAAAAAATGAATTAACAGAGTTATTAACTTACTCAACATTATAAAATTTATTTGGTGCCAAATCAAAAAATTAGTGTAAAAAATTGAACGAAAATAGCCAATTTAAAAGTAGTAGCGAACGTTGAAAAATATATCATCGCATCCAAAAAATACCATTTTGCTTAGTTTAGTGCGATGGAATATGAATCACATTTATACAATAGGCAATGTTCCGACTCATTGGATTGACCTCATATCCGAAAATGCATGTCCTCACGCGGCAAAGTTTGCTGCAGTGCAAGCGTTTGCATCGACTGAGAAGTGAGTAATTCGCTTATGTGAGTTAACATTTAATCTGATGGAATTGTTTATAAGCGTTGGCAGGATTCTCAAATAAACTGAAATATCATTTCTGAAATCCATGTAGTTATTCGAAATAGAAAGAAATAGAATTTTAAATTCCTATATCGATTTTAGTAATATTTTGCTTTCGTAATATATTCCATATCTTTTCACTTCTATTTCAATATTTTTTCTTATCGTGGAAAGCTAACCTTTATCAAAGATGTATTTTTATAAGGATTTTTTTTTTGTATGGTTATAAGGAAATACAGAAAATATTTTTTCAACTTCAATTTTATGGCTAATTCCATCTGTAATTTACAGTTATATTAGTAACAGTATATTTCAGAATAACTCTTTCACAGATAATTCCTATTATCACAACGCAAATCAAAAAACGATGTTACAGCGGCAAAAGCAGAATTCGATAATGAAACCGTTTGGCACACTGGAGTAATTTTTTGTGCAGCGGTTTTCTGGTGCTGAAGATATTACACGAAAATAAAATTTTGATTATCAAATAAGTAATGACTAAGTACTGAGCAACTGATTAGTGCATGCATTTCTCTTACCAAATCTAATGCTTTGTTAAAAGCATTATTTGGTGTGTTAGAATAAATATCAGAATATTTAATTAACGCAGACGACATTTTGTGCTTTAATGCTCGATAGCTAAGCAATACCTCCATAACTTTAGTGATAAGAATTTAATTTCATTATATAGGCTTATATAATCTTGAAAACATTAAAGTATTCCGGAATGGTAAACCGGATGGTATCAACTGTATTAGTGTATCCTAATCAATTGAACCCGTAACAGATAAGTTTCCTGATTAAAAAGGGAAAAGAGACAGTTCAGAAAATTGCTCGTACTAAAATACGATGTTTGCCGCTCATGTAATATTCATTTTGGTTTGAAATTCTATCAAGTTGAGCAAAGGAAATAAAAGTGCGACAAATCACTGATCACTAGGAATCACTTTAATATCAGTAATTCGGGAGGGAGTTGAGAAATGCAAATTATGTTGGATAATTTGAGAAGTCATTCCACTGTGTTTGAAAAAAGCACAAATAAAGAAATGAATGTTAAAATTGTTTGCTTTACTTCATCGCCCCACAGCTTATTAGCAGCACAAAAAAGTGGCTCGAATAAGGTACCAATGCAATGAGCAAGTCCTTTGGTTTATTTTTGAATTTTAAATCCTCATGTTGCACCTTTTGTATAGGAAAAAAGTTAACATAAAAGTGCTATTAACAAGCACTTTTTTATTTCGTGCATGTCTGTATTAATGAATTCCCCTTTACTGTCACCATTTTGGAACTTTTAAAATGAAATTAAAATTATCCTAAAAGTTCCAATCTGGTGGTTATATGACTTTTGTATAGAAACTCTCAGAAATTTGTTTCTCGAACCAATTACACAATGCCATATCAAGTCTTTGAGTGTCCATTGTTGTGTAATATTGTTTTACTTATAAAATTAATTATTACTGCTATGTTAAGCTTTGAAAAGTCAAAAAGCTTACAGTGTTCTAATATGATGGAATGAACAGGAAGCCAAATGGAAGGAAATAAGAGAAATGAATGGTTTAAAAAACTATTAAAAGACAAATTCATATTTTTATTGCTTTTTACTAGAAAACAGTAATCAACAGCAAAGAAAGACAAAATAACTTAAGATAAATCGATAACTTGAAATTGAAACACTTACTGGCACTTTTAGAAGTTTTCAACCAATTATATGCAAAACAGCTCATTAAGTGTATCCACGTGCTCATAAAGTATATTCAGTAAAATATTTGCCTATATAGGAAACGAACACAAATAGTGGCGGTATTCTTCTATCGTAAAAATAATTGCAAAAATTAAAGGCACATTATCAAACCCGTAAAAAGAAGAAAGATGACATTTTATTACAATTATACTCTACCACTGCTATATCAGTCTTTCTTCGGGTGGAGATTTGAGCATTGAATTCATCTGAAACAGAGAAAGTTTTTAATGCTAATTTATGCATGGATAAAAAGTATTTTATCTATCGATTCTTCATTATCATTAGTTTCTAATGTCTCGTTTCGTTTCATGAATTAATTTCTTGAGTGTTTTAAGAAAATGAGATTAAAAGTAGTAAGAAGTATAAATACCGGCATTCGTGAGATGCTACTTTCGTGATGAGATGGACTATAGGCACCCTGAGTTGCACGACGTCCATGAATCATAACTACTGCCAATAATACAAAGCCAATAATGAGCAATGCTATGATAAGAGCCAGCATTGGTCCAACTATGTAACCCAATGAAACAGATCTAAAATTTTATTCTTTGATTTAATAATGATAGCCGCTATGATACTCATTCAAGATAATGAAATAATGTAAAATTTGACTCATAAAAATCTCATAGCTATTATAAAAAGTAGTAGCTAATTCTGTTAGCATAGAAAATAAATCACAATGTAGAAAGGAATCTGATCAATCATTGATGGTAGACTAAAGGAATAAGCTAGTATCAATAAGAAAATGAAACACCTAAAGATATATACCTGCTCTTCTCGACTAAGTGGATGCAATACTCTCCACCATAGCCGAACTCACATTCGCATTCATAATTTGCCACTTCCATATCATTCTTCATGCTAACTGTAGGATGAACGCATGCACCATGCACACAGTCATGCCTCGTTCGATTCAGGCTATCCAGAGTGCATGGGTCTTCTACAGTGCATCGTTTTCCAATATATCCTAAAACAATCACCAAATTAATTCTTACTTCATTGTAGTCTGGTGATTTTTCTAGCTAAATAAACTAACCTATGTCGCAAATGCAATTATATGAGCCAATCAAGTTAGTGCATCTACCGTAGACACAAACACCCAGTTCACATTCATCGATGTCCTCAGTGCAGTGAGTACCCCGGTAACCTGTACCTTCACAATCACATTCGTATCCATTTATCCGATCCATACAATGTCCACCATTCCGGCATACATTATTAATGCAATCATCAATATCCAATGAACATGTTTCACCTTAATCAGTCAACATTTACGTTTTGATATATGTCTAGATGTTTTCAAACTCCTAACATAGTATTCTCACTTTTGCAATACCAAGATCTCATTTATAATTCCAGCAATTTCCAAGGAAGAAAGATATCTAAAGTTTTGTTAAAAGAAAAAGTTTAGTGCTTCATTATAATTATATATACGAAATCAAAGCGATGTTTGGAAAAAGACTATAAGAATTTCAACTTTCGTATCGTGGATTGAAAACAGAGAAATTGTGGCCAGTGATAAATAAATTCACTGAAAGTTTCAAATTTTTTGTTCATTAATGTTTAAGGAAAGTTTTCAGACTTTATTTTAATAAATAACCTGCAAAACCAGCTAAGCATGAGCAGCTGAAGCCACCAATGAACTTCTGGCAAGTGGCGCCATTCTCACACGGATTTGGACTGCAGTAATCAATCAGTATGTCACAGGTATCACCCGTATATCCCCGTCTACAAACACATGAATGCGTAGTCGATGTTTGCTGTATGCAATCACCGTTATCACCACACGGTCGCTCTACACAACTGCCCACTACTTCACAATGATCACCTGAAAAACTTAGATCAGCGGAAGAATTACTTATAAAAAGGAACCAAAGCAAAAGCTTCATTGCTAGATAGTTTGGGAGCAGTACATTGAGTTTAAGAACTTGAACAGTAGATTTGATTTCTAAAGAAATAATTAAACAGAATGTCAATAATAACCTAAATGATAGCTGTCGCAACTACAGTGATATGATCCAGGTGTATTGGTGCAGTTACCATCATGTTCACAAGGAAATCGTATACATTCATTGATATCAATATCGCAGTGTTCACCATTCCAGCCCGACTCACAGTTACACAAGAAATTGTCAGTTACCGTTATGCATTCTCCATGTACACAAGGTGAAGTACTACAATAATCTTTCATTTCCTCACAAATTCGGCCTGCAAATTAGGTGAAAGAAGTGTTATGTTACCTAATATGACAAGAGTTATGAATATTATTAGCTGCCTTGCTAATTTAAAGTATGTAACGGAACTTGATTTTATTAACCTAATGTTGTAGTTATAAGATCACTTCATGCGCAAATAATTCTAATGCATTATATATTCTGTAAAATTGGTTTAGCATTTTTTCGAATATTTCTCACAAAGTGGAGAATAATATAGTTATGAAAAGATTTGCACTTTTTTAAACTCTCTATTCCACTCTGTCATGTTTTTTCTTGCAAGTAGAAAATTTAAAGGTGTAAAGTTGCGAGGATTTGTTAATGCTAAATAAAAAAAAATAGATAATATCTCATTTATTTAGAGAAAAAAAAAAGATAAACATAATTGGATAAACTCAGTACCCTCATAACCATTGGTACATATGCATTTAAAATCGCCATCTTTTGGCAAGCATGTAGCTCCATTTTTGCATGGATTTGATTGACAAATATCTTTTTGTATATCACAAAGAATACCATCAAAACCTGGCGGACAGTCGCATTTGAATGTGTCCTAAAATATAAAATACAACTGAAGCGCTTTATATGTGTGCAGAAAATCTTGAATGAACTTATATTCCCACAAAATTTGAATATTAGAAAACTTCTCTAGCTTCTCCGGAAGGATCTATTTCTTTTAAATGAAATCCTCCTTCTTTCATACCTCTCACTGCTTTCTTATTATTAAGTTAGTCTTTTCTCAAGTAGAAAAGAATGATGCTTAATGATATCTCACCTTAACTACCGTACAGTTCGCTCCATTTTCACATGGTGAAGGAAGACATTTTGATGATTTCTGAAAAAAAAAAAAGAAATATTGCCGTCCTTTATTGTTAAAGTCCTTATTTTATTATATAAGTAGATCACTGTCCGTTACAGTTTCAGTTGTATATGATTTATTCAGATCAAAAGAAGTTCCATTTACTTCATCAAAAAAAAAAAAATGCATCTGAAATTCTTACCAGTACTTGACAACGTGATCCGACAAAGTGAGGTGGACAATCACAATTGTATTTGCCTTTTGCTGTTGTACAGTTTCCACCATTTAAGCATGGTGATAGTTTGCATAAATTCATTTCTTCATCGCAAAATTGTCCATCGTATCCGGGCAGACATACACAACTGCAATTATAAAAGTTTATTAAACAGAGAACAAAGTCGACAGCATTTGACCAGCCATGTTTTTTCTTTCTAAATTATTTGTTCTAAAAAACCACACAATAATTAGGAAGTGTTAAAACACTAAAAATTGACCTATATTCGTCGATACCGCTGATACAAGCGCCAAATTTACAGATGTGATTCTCACATCTATTAATTCGTGTCTGTAAAAAGAGAAAATACTAAAATGATATTTATTTATATCATAACTCTTTTAAGAAGCAATCTTTTATAAGAAATTATGAATCACGAACTTGAAATCAATTAATATAACATCAGGCGTATTCCAGAAGCACCAGTTACGGGTAAGAAAGATCCAATGTGACTTTAAGAAAATTTTCAACCTCACAAAAAGTTCCAGTAAACCCAGGTTGGCATTCGCAGACTCGCTTATTCCATAAATCGCGACAAACTGCATCATTTTTGCATGGATTTACTAAACCACAAAGATCGTCAGCATAGCAGAAGTTATCTATGATATTTCGACGCTTCATTAGCTTGAAATGCATGGTATTTTCCAATAAATTACCAGCTCGACCATCAACAAAAAATGAAATCGGTGGAGTTATTCCAATGTGTATATTTTCCAGACAACCCTGAAGCAAAACTTATCAAAAAAATCAGATGTATATTTATTCTGTCAGACATATACATATATATATATAATATACAAATGAGCCTCGACAATTATCAGATGCAGCTAATTAAAAAGTTCTGTGATGGATTTTGGTTTTATTCCCGGAAACTTTAAAAAGTCAAAACAAATTAAATTTGATGAAAAAACTTCCCAAAATTTCAACTTACATCGAATGATGGTAATTGATCACTTCGTTGTCCAATTATTAAGGTTAGGTTATCATTGATATCAAATGTATTGACTAACAGAGGCAATGATAAATTGTTAGCATTGAGCTTGCCATCGATATGCAAACCATTTTGGTTGATATCAACACTGCGCACTGCACCATCATTTACTACCAGATTTGTCCTTTGCTTTTTCATATTATCATTTATCAGTGCTTCATACACCAGTAAACCATCCTCCAGTGAGACCGATAGGAAAGAAGTTGGAGTTTCCTGAAAAAGAAGTATATGCTATGAGCAACACAGGGAGAGAGAGAGAGGTATGAATAGTAGGAATGATAAAAACGCTCTCTCATATTCATAAAACTCACTAGGTAAATAATTTGACCCGATAAGGAACGAGTTCGCAACATGAAGCTGATTTGTAAGGACTTTGAAATATCCGTCGCGACACCACCATTTTCCAATTTAAATTTTGCGAATGATGTTGATATAAATGTTGCTGGCGAACTACCTGTTAAACAATCATCGCATCACTGTGATCTTACTTATTTGATCTTTTTTTATTATATAAGACAAGCGACATATGAAAACTATAAAATGACAGATGCACTTACAAACATAACCGCCGTCGTAATTTGTGCACGTCATATTTGTGCCACAAGACGAAAGAGCACAATGATCACGTTTATTGCAGCGTTTCCCAATCCATGAATTCTCACATATACATTCAAAATCATTAAACGTGTTTGAGCATTCTCCATTTACGCATGGTTTTAAAAGAGTGCAAATGTCATCCGATACTGTGCCCTGCAAAATAAGATTTAGATGAAATAAATATCTGAGATAGAAAACTGTCCTATTGTAAGTTCATGAGTTGTGCTTTTGAAATTTCAAGTACATAGGTAAACACGAAGTAATAACAGCGCGAATGACTGAATCAGCTATGTAATTACAAATAACATTAAGCTAACAAATTGTTTTTCCCAAAAGACTTACAAATTTTACATCAATAATTCTTAAAAGACTAATAACCAATCAAAATAGTAAAAAAAATCACTTTTATCAGTCCGATCAAATGAAAAAAAAAAAAAAGATAGGAGAAGTTTTTACATTGAGTCCTTGAATATTAATAAATGGCGCAGCTACCTGCTGGATATTATCCTTTTCGATTTCAATCCCAAACTGCTGTACTTCGATATCAGTCGGCAATGTTGAAAGAGGAACGACACGATTGTTGATACGTAGGTCCTGTAGTGTCCCTTTGAAGTAGTCATTATTTGAAAATGCATCTGTAGTTAAATCTTCACTGCTGCCCAGAATCAAGGTATCTGCTAGCAAAGGATGATCAAAACGATTTTCAATGTCGAATTTTGTACTTGCCACACCATCATCTATTGTGATCTGTGATAAATGGTATTCAGAAAAAGTAGTAAAATTAAACCAATATTTATTCCATAAGCTGATCCTCTTTTCTCAGTTTGTGAATATGACAAACTTTCACAGTATAGAATAATCCAATTAGACAACTACTCTATCCTTATAATCATGAATGCACATACAAAGTATGATGAGAAAAAGGAGATGGCGTAATTTTTAAGTAATTACGAAAAACAGAAATAAAGATGAGAACTTACAGTGAAATTATTCCGATCTCTCACTAAACTTATCAAATGCACTTTATTGTCATCGATTTTATCTGATATATTTCTTGAAAATACTTTCTTGCCTCCCAATCGCGTTCGTATATTCAAGGAACCGTTAAGAATTTGCAGTGCTATGAAGGTTCCAATATCTTCATCACTCTGAATAAAAACTGCTCAGAAATCTTTCCATCATGTCCACAATAGCAGTATTTTCAACATCTTAACCATAATGCTTCTCTGTTAAAACAAACACTTCTCGCTTTTTGTCTCTCATACTTCGATTAAATCTTTCAAATGTTAGAGGAAAAATGCCATAAAAGTTATAAAATCTCATGTTCATGAAATATTAAGTCTGACAGATACAACATACCTTCTCACCGAGATACAACAATGTTCCATTAGGTTTGTTCGTTCTGATCAAGAAATCAATATCTGTATCTAGTTTAATGTTCTCCAGATCTTGTTCTATATCTAATTCCAATCTGGACTTTAAATTATGATGCCCAAAAGTCACTTCATCTGTTTGTTGTATACAATATGGTGGCAAGAATGGTTTTTTACATGCACAACGAAATTCATCCCATTGATCGATACAAGTACCACCATTTTGGCATGGATTAGGAGAACATAATTTGGAATGTTGACATCCTTCTATGATTCCGAATACATTACTAAAATGAGTAACTCTGAGAATTCCAGTAATTGTCAAGTTCTGATTTTCTTTTCCAGCATCTCTTAGAGTAGCTAATAAATCATTATATGAAATGCACATGAAAATTCCCGTAATCTCTACCACTTTATTATTTGAATTCCTTTATTTAACGCTTATGAAACAAGTATGAGGCTTACTGATTTATGATTTACAACGGCTAAAAACTGTTTCTACTTACGCTGATTTGAGCATATCAGTGAATTCTCCATTGATAAATAAATCACGAACACAACCCCTGAAACCATTTGCGCGACCTTTGCCTATTCGTGTCCAATAGATGCCCATATTTCTGCGTTCCTTCATTTTTAGACGCGACAAGACAAAATCTCCTTCGCGTATTTCTAGCGAAACAGTCTGCAAATGAAAGTGCGAGAAAATTATAATTTCAATAACTGGTGTACTTGATGAGAAAAACTTACGAAAACAAATCATGTTTATCTGGTATATTCCTAAATTATTTGATAACTATGAAGCACTTCTTTAACTGAAACTAACCTGAACTTAATAATTAATTTCTTAAAGTTTTTCCCCGAAATCTTGTTTAATAAGGTTTGAAACTTTTTTAACATAAACAATAGTATCTCTAAGTAAGCAATCAGCAGAATGAAATTTTTACAGTGGAATATGTAAAACATTGTGGATGGTAATAGGGTATGGGGCAGCTCAAACCATTGAAAATTTATAAATTGGTAAATTAAATATCTGAGTGCTATTTAAGTTCAATTTTTAGTTGGTTACGTGGTTTCAGAAAATCATTTACTAGATAATTTCAAACCTTATTAATATTACTGAACAGTACAGTGTACCAATGATCGTCATTAACAGCAAATGGCAACAATTTTCGGTAAACAAAACCGGTGAAGTTGCCATATAAATAACCGCGTTGTACATTTAAAGCGAATTGTATTTGACTTAAAATATCTTCTGTTGATAATATATGAGTATCATCTACAGTTGTTCGAAATGTGACTTTTAATGTATAATCGGATTTTTGTAACCTAAAAAAAAACTGGTGAGAGGAAGGAGTTTTTTGCACTTTTCATAAATTTACTTTTAACTTAAATATATTTTGAATCTTAGAAAACGAAGCTGAAAGCTGATCACTTAGATGTAAACAAAGAATTTAGAATGATTATACATTAAAAAGATAAAGTTCACAAAGAGATGTGTACAAAATACAAAGAGATAGACTAAATAAATATGTTTCTTATTCAGATCGGTGCAACAAATATGATGACAAAAAACAAAAAAGCATACCCAACAACGCTATTTGGTGATTGATAGAGAAAGAATGAAGTATTGTGAAATGTCACAGCGGTATTTAAGGTACAATTTGTTCCAGTTAGACCTGGCGCACATCCACAGGAAGTTATTGTCCCAGCAGTAGTAGGCTCATTTCGACATATCTGATATTGGGTGCAGAATAAATTTTGGCATTCCTATAAACAATATCAACGAATAGTGGAGAGCGATCGATACATCTTTAATATTATTCTTTACTGAGTATTACTACGAGTTAGTTAATATTTTTGCTCAGTGCAATTTTGATAATGCGTTAGCATTATCAAAATACTGATCTTACTGATCACCTGGAAGATCTAATTGTCTTATTATTCCGTAATATCCTTCCTAGTGCAAATTGTTCTGTAAGCTGAGAGGAATTAATCAACCTTAATTTCCTGATCACATTTCGGTCCTGTCCAAGCGGTGTCACAAACGCATACCGCATATTTACCATTTTCAATACATCGAAAGGAATGCACACAGTCATCACAAGATATTTCAGTCTGAAATATGTATTTTTAAAAAGAATTTCTTAAGAAAAGATCATCACAACACCGATTGCTTTAAGTTTGTTACTCCGATGACAGACAAATCTCTTACTTTAATGCAGACAAAAGTACCATTTCTTCGCTCACAGCTTTCACCCGCGACACATTCCGGTACACATTCCATTTCTTGTACTCTCATTTCGCAACGTGTACCGCTGAAGCGCTCATCGCAAATACACTTGAAACCAGACATATCTGAATTGAAGCATTACAGTAAGTTTTCCCTTGTTTTCACTCCTTTTTCTTTCATCAGTCACTTCATGTAAGTATTCTATCTAATTAATTCAATAAATTTAAACCAGAGAATAAAACGCGAAATTGTCAAAATCGATTTGGGAGATTATGAAGTAACACAAGAATTAGTGTAAGAAGTAAATTTTATGGAACAATAAATGAAACTTTTGTAACTTACTTGTAAAATTAGTGAAGCATTTGCCTCCGTTCAAGCATGGCATTGTTTCACAAATATCCGTATTTTCACAGAATTCGCCTGAATTCTCTTTCGGACAAATGCAAACTGCTGAACCTCCCTTAACTACGCACTGACCTGATGGTAAGAATATTTACAAAATACAAAAATAAGTGACATAATCTGTTAACAACTAATAATTTTAACTGATTCATTTTTTCAGCTTGTGGAGCAATCTTGAACCAGACATTTTCAATCAAATTTAATCTCTACGGACGAAGGAAACCTTTGCTTAAAAAAAAATTAGTGAAGAGATGAATGTCAGATCAAAAAGAGAGACACCGGAATTACAATCCCTTCGTAAGCATGGATCGAATTCCGGAGAATTCCTCTCACAATATTTTCCTTCAAAACCATTTTCACAATTACAGGTAGCTCCATTTGCAGACCATATACAATTGCCGTGTATGCAAGGATTGCTGAAATTCAGAAAAATAGAATAATCAACAGATATCAATATAGTTAAAATGGCAGTAAAAATTCAAACAGTCACATTTTAATTCAAATCAAAAAAGAGACTTTCCATTAGTTGCAAACTCTGTTGGAAGTTAATAGATGTCTGTTTTACCTCATCAGTGCAATTGTAAAAATAAGAAAGATTAAGAAGATACCTATCAACGATGCATTCAAGCGTATGTTCACAGCGTATACCTGTAAAAGCAGGTGGACATAAGCAACCACCAGTCGCTTCAAGGCAAGTACCGCCGTTCTCACAGCTTTCATTTCTTATACATGACCATGACAGCGGCTGATCACAATCTTTGCCCTGCAGTTTGTAATACTGTAAATGAACAGAAGTCAAAATAAAGTCACAATTTCAGTAAAACTTCTGATTTTTTCTTCTTCAAGCATTTTCTCAAAATTTATTGCTGTTTAAAAAAATTTTTCAATACCCTTACCATAAAACCATCAGGACATTTGCATATTCCACTAATACAAATTTGTTTATCACTTTTACAATTACATTCTTCCTCAATTTGTTCCTGTAAATTTTATTTTTAAAACACTTTGAAAGAAATTAATGATATTAAATGATAGTAATTTATTCAACACACTTCTTATTTGTCGTTTTTATTTCTCTTTTCACCTTTCGATTAATTCCTTTTAAGAGAAATAATACGCTTCCATATGAATGAACTAGAATGATATGATTAGAAACTGATAAAATGTTTTTATTAATATTGAAAAGTCATTCTCACCTCATACATCGGACAATTCTCTATATAAGTTATGAAAAAACTTAAAGGAAGAAAATAAATTATGTGCTTCACCATTCAATAAATTAAAATTAGCAAATTCCTTTTTGTCCCAGCACACTATTTAGTCCAAGCTACAATTAATTAAATAAGCAATACTTGACATCGGTCAGAAGTAAAGCCAGGTTGACAGTTGCAGTGGTATAAGCCATCGACAATACTACAAATTCCATTATTAAAGCATGGATTAGGATCACACAGCGTACTCTCTTCGCATACAGTACCTAAAAATACAGTTAAAATAAGTACTTCATTGTTGCAAAAAAATTCGTAAAATTTTTTTCACGACATTACGAATTTGATTTTAAATTCTATTAAAGCACTGAAGAAAGCGATATGTGTGGGAAAGATGAAATGGAAATATAATGTCTATAAAACGAACGTCAATAAGCAAAAGAATTTGATGCCGTATATTTTAAAGTTTCTTAAGAAGCTTCAGAAGACTAGTCCATAATTATCTTCCTGAACAATGACAAATTTTAAAATCTCATTGTTTGCAGATCCCGAATTTTAGATGCAAAGACTCGAAAAATGAAAATAAGATTAACCTCGAAAGCCATCTTTACAGAGGCATATAAATGACCCAAGACTATTTACACAGATAGCATCGTTTTTACAAGGTGTGGTTATGCATTCATCGATATCGTTTTCACATAAATTACCTTCAAATCCACTTGTGCAAGCACACTCGAATGTATCCTGAAAGTAATCTAGCTGAATGATGCCATAGGACAGGAAAATGAGCTAAACAATCGTTGATAATAATAAACATTATTTTCAATTTAATTTGTTTCAAACCAATTGCACACATTATTTTTTTTTTATTTGTAACTGCAACCACGGCTAAACTTACACAAATTGAAACTTCTTACTTACTTTCACTAGTGTGCATGATGCATTGTGTTGACATGGGTTTGGAATGCATGCATCATGCACACAACGCCATTTGCCTCCTTCGACAAGCACACATCTACAAATTGGAAAATTTTAGGTTCAAATTAAATTCCACCATTTATACACTATTGTTGCTATTGACATGAGTCAAAATCACAGTGAATACTGATATACTAATTAAATTAGTAAGTTTAATTAGCTGTAATTTCTACCAAAATTAAGTTAGCAGTAAGGAAGTATACCTTTCACCAATTGAACAGCCTTGAACTTGACAGTCAATTGAGCCGACTTCACATAATTCCCCCGAAAATTCTGCAACTTCTACTATTATTTCCCTTTTCCTCTCCCTTTTAATTCGTCAGTCATTGTAATAATATGTTTCGTGCCAGAGTTTCCCCTCAGTTAGGCTAATTTTGGGATGATGTCAGTGACACCTATCTTTGCAGCATTGAAAGATCCTCTGATAAAAAGAACTGGTGACGAATGAAATCAGGTTATTGAAAAATATGGGCTGCAAAGTAGCAATTTTACGAGCTCAGTGGACGCAGTGTCGCCTTATTACCTTATTATGGGAAAACTTTGTGATTTTAATTATGTAAGTTATATTAAGTTTTTATTTAAGTACAAATTGTATTAAATCAGCACAAAGAAGGTTATGACAATAAACGAAAGTTGTTAATTTGACCACTTAGTTTACCTCACAATCAGTTAATTAGCTAAGTTAATCACGTGAGAAGTGTACATTTGTTTTAATAATGATAATAATTATACATAATCAAAACCATATATCAAAGCATATGAAGAAATTTGCGTAAATCAGTGTATGATTCGTTTTAAGTTACAAATTTTCAAGGAACAAACTGATAAATGAAAAAAGGTTAAATACCTTCTGAGCAATTACATTTTGGCTTTCCGACATCAGTAAAGATACATACTTCATTGTTGTGACATTTCAAAGAACAAACTTTTTCCGATTCGCATAGCAATCCTTCGAAACCAACTGGACAAAGACACCGGAAAGTGCGGTCTTGATCGTTTACTTTACATGTTCCGCCATTTAAACATACATTACTTTCACAATGTCGCAATGTAAGAAAGCCTAAAAATACAACTGTTACCAACCATCATTTTGTCAGTTTAATCCTTTTAGTCTTAGTATAGAATGATAATAAAAAATAATAAAATTGATAACGTCTCAAAATTAATTAGCAGCTTTTTTAATGACGAGAATAATGAAGCTGGCATTACCCTACTTGTAATGAATACAACAATTTCATAGCTGAAATACGAGAAGTCTGTCATCCTCACAAAATGATTCATTTATCAGAAAATATTTTACGTTTCAACTTCAAAATTATCCTTGACTTTATACAATGATATTTGCAACTATCCATCAAATATAGCATAAAAGTTTACTTTCATAATTTATTTTAAGCAAATCTTTTTTACATCCAATTTGGTTAAGCCAAATAAAATTGTGCCAAATATTTTATGCCAAACATGATGTAATTATTATCAATTCTGAGAAACCATTCAGTCGTTCCAAAAGTACTTTCACTATATCAGTTCTGCACAGCTGTGATAATAAAGATTGTCTGGCTAGTCCGATCATGACCTTCTCTTCAGTACCACTATCACTCTTAACTTTGTTCCAATGTATACCTTCATTTTTTGCAAAAGAAACTGCGAACTATTTATTTCACAAGAAATTTCCCTTCTCTGTTTGCTATACCTTAATTTCAGCAGATCAGCATAGCGATATTTATTAACACAATTTAATTTTAATTTATCCTTTCATTGATTAACGCAACTCGGTCATATAATTAGACTCCAAGAAACGAAAGACAAATTCTGTTGTAATCTTTTTCTAGATTTCCTCTTCTCTCTTCTTTGTTGGGTGTAGTTTAACGGTACTGTCAATAATATGTAGAAAAGATTTTTCTACAACAATGAAAAATTTCGAGAATTATTACGATTGAATGCAAATAGTTATAAGGACGAAATGTCCAATGTCATTTTTTCAACTTCAGATCGTAAAATGAGAAGCGTTTTGTTTGTTGTAATGGAAATTGAAGGAGAAAAAAGAGTTTCAATAAAAAAAAAGCGTTGTAGTCAATCAATGCAGAATGTTTTAGCAAGAAAACTCGAGATTAAATTCGAGAAATTATTCCAAAAAAGCAATGCATCGAATGGTATTCAAAGAAGTGAAAGGTACAGATTGCGAAGTTGAAGTAACCGTAAATGATTTGATAGGAACTCTCGTACTGCTAATGTTTCGCTGTTTGCTTGTTGTTTACGTTGCTTCAGTTATCTGTTAAAATCATATAATTTTTATTATTTCTTGTCACATTCCTTTGCTCTATGGCATAATCCCAATCTATTAGTAAACAACTTCTAAATGGGCATTTCTTTCCACTTCTCAATAATCTAGGAAAAAAAAGCAAACAGAATTCTATTTCAGACCTGGTTTAAACGGCTGATTCGTTCCATCTCCCTCTCTTACAAAAGAGTGAAGAAGTAAATTTATTCTGAATTGCGAGTAAATGAAAGATTAATTAACGATCAGAAGTAAAAGTGTATAATGTGTAAACAGCAGTAAGTCAAAAGGCGCTTTTGTTTACAGACGGAATCAGTTTATGAATATACAGTTCAATATGGAGAAAAGCCAAGGAAAATATGTGATAAACATTTCAGCAGTTGCTTGTGATCAAAACTTTAAGTAACTACTTCATTCTTTATCAGCGATGAAGTAAAAGTATCGTTTATTTATTCAATTCGAAATTTTATGATTTCTGATAAAAGAAAATGATAGACGACTGAGTGTGTATTCGAAATCTATTTCATGCATACATATTAATAGGCGGTTTTGCACAATAAAAGAGTAGATATAGGACATGAACATAACTCGTCAGTTCAATCGTTGTTAAACGACAGATTAATAATCCTATGCAGGTAATTGCCAATTTTCGTATTGCCGACATCAGGTAATAGTTGCCAGTATTGTTTGACAATACCCATTATCCGGATTAAAGTGCATTGCCCAAACTACATATGCTTACCTACGCATGATGAATATGATATAATGAAATGTTGGAATTTTTGAAGTAAAAATGAAAAAAAAAAAAAAGTGAAAAATAAAATTTTATCAGTAAATAATGAGCAACTCAGTAATTTAGATGGAATTTAAAAAGGCTCTGCTTACAAGCGTTGTTAGTGTCTTACAAAAAAATCTACTATCAATGTTAGTCCAACTATCGAAATAGCGGGAATGTCGATGGCGGGTATATCTGACTGACATCTATCTGTCTTCCTTATTAGTAACTATTTGCTATGTCAAAGCTGAACCAATTGCCTTTCTCCTCCTCATGCAAGCTTACAGTAATAATAGAGTGAAATTTCAGATTTAAATTGGCACTTCTGTTTGCGTGCTTGAACGATTCAACATGGAACTCATCAGATCAATTAATCGACTGAAGTTTACAGGAGATGATAATTTTATTTCAGTACATAGCAACTTCTCCAATGACAAATAGAGCACAGCAAGCGAAAATTATTTGTTAATATCAATCTCAAATTAATCTAAAACACTATTTTCAACATATTTCAATCACTCATTAATAATTATGCTAACAGCTAATTGTTAAAACGGAAAATAGAAAGTAACATTTCCACCGTGTAGAAGTTCGTCTTTTTGAAAGTTCTTGAGATCCCACAAATTTTCACACATTTCAAGCTTTAATTGCTTTGAATGAATGCAGTTTAATTCTGATATTCAAAGTTATTGGGTTTTACATATCCTTATTTATTGCTTCAAAGTCCACAGTGCCATACTTTTCTATTTTACGAATAGTAAAACGAAAATAATGAGATAAGGATGATGAGTGTCCACTAGCTAAATTCTCAAGAGGTTACTGATGGAACAAACTAAAGTCAGCGATTTGTTTACATACATTACTCACCAAGAACTGTACTTTATTTGAATATTAGTAAACATCACTTGCCTCAAGCTTCGTTGAGAAAACATAAACTTACCAAAACAATGCAGTTTTAAAGAACAAAGCAAGAAGACAAAGAATAAAATGAATAACTTTGGTTGGATCCAAAGTTATTCATTTTATATATATATATTTATGATATATAAGTTTTACGATAATAGCAAAAAAGCACATTTTATTTTATGAGTTCATCAGTAATAACTTATATCCTACAAAACTTTGCATTTCATTTCTGACCATAAATTCTTAAAAATTTTTGGATTCTATACAAAACCAATAAATATTCTTTGTGATACTAACTTATTAATAATTTTCATTTTAATGAACTTGCATATGTATATGTTTGAATTCAACGAAAAAAGTCAATGTTTTTATTGAATTTTATCTTTCTTAATCGAATGATCTTAAAACATAACGAATTATAGAATGGTACTTTTTAATTCGTAATAAAAATTCGAATTTGACGAACAGATAGAGTTATATATATATTGATATCTTGTAGCTGAGATGTAACGAACATACGATTGTTTAACAAATAATGTTTTGCTTTTCTTCGTAAGATTGGTAAATTTCATGATTAGATTGCTGATAATGTTGACAAAATGGCCATCAGATGAGATTAACGACGAAAAAAGAAAAAATCGAATGAGCACATAAAAAAGTGGTAGTTAGTATGCAATTGTAGAAACAGAGCAAAAGTGAAATTTTTTACAAAATAAATAAATTTGTTAATTGAATAAAATGATTTCTAATGTTTCACACTTTTATAGTGAAAAGAAAAGATGCGCTAACAGTCGAACTCTAAAAATTCGCTATAGAAAAGCATAACAAATTGCTGGAATGAATCAGTAATTATAAAAGAATTAAAAATTAAATCCATTTATATCAATTTACCACAAATATATCCATACAGACAAAGACTTTCTCTTCATTTCTTCTACACAAACAATTATTGGTCAAATATTGAATAATTGAAATAGAAAAAGTGGTTAGCAACTTCGGTGACATTTGCTGAGAAACAATGATTAGCGATGAATGAGATGAAATAATTGTCATCTTTGCCAGTATCTATCACTGGCACTGGTTAATATTTATTTGGTTTAGGGAAGCATGAAAAAAAACAGAGCTGTATGATCGCAATTGGAATAGAAGGTAGAATCTGTTGAATAGAATTTATAAACACGTAATGACAAATGATAGTACAGATAGCCAGATGTCACTTAAGGAAAATGACCGTTAGACAAATTTCTCAAGCTTTTTGTGCATGCAACTTCAGTAAATAAAAACTAATCAGAAGTTGCTATCATGGCATGTTTCAATAGCAATCTTCACATATCGTTAAAAGTTTTGACGATCTTCAACACTTTGGGTAAGGAAATGAAAAGTAACTAGTAAACTTAATGAAGAATTTCACATTAAACAATTATGGTTACTAATGAAGTTTAGAACCAACAAGTTAAGCAAAAGATATATTATTTTCTAGAAATTGACTATTTTTAAATGAAATTCAAGAACTGTTACATATCAATGAACAATTATATACCTTTATTTCTGAACCGTCTGAGCAGAAACCATTCAGAGAAGTCTGTTTATAAGCCTTTTTCATATACCTGTTTAAAATCTATACAGTTCTCGCAAAATTAAACTTATTGTACTAGTTATCAATTTACCTTCAGCCAGCAAAGTATATGAAAAAAATTCTTTTGCAAACTGAAAATAGTCAGGTCGATTATATTCATTTGGCAGACCCTTATCAGATAGATCATTTATTTCAATTCAACAAGTTATGGAAAGAAAATAATTGAAAAGAGAATTTCGGGAACGAGAAGTTTGAAAGATATAAAACAAAATGTAATCACATGAAACAAAATATAATTTCAAAAATCTAACTTACGATGAAATGTATCTGATTCAATCAAAATTGTACTTAGAAGGTTTCAGAGTTTCAGAAGAATTAAAATTGGTAACAAACCTTTTAAGTTAGCGAATAACAGTATTAGAATAAGCATATATGCAAATTTTCAGTAAGGTATGCAGCAATCGTATTTTCAATAGGTAATGTTTTCGTACTTCTGTGATTATTGCAAAAGGTCATACACAGAAAAGCGAAAGGTCAAAGGTCACGGACACCGTTGATTCCAGAGGAGTTTTATGGAACCAACAATGTTTAATTAGTATATGAGCAGTAATGAATAGTAGTGTGTTGAAGATAAAACGTAGGCAAATATAAAAAGAATAGTTGGGGACGACGCTTCTAGGAGAGACAGACTAAAACTAGTGCAGGTATTGTTCCTGCGATCTTTTTATCGCTGACAATGTCATCGGATATTTGCTGCAAAGTTGGGTTAAGTTTGGTATGCTACTTATTTGAGTTGCTGATAGGAAAGAGTAAGGTCGACAAATATATGATTACTGACCAGTGGTCAAGAAGGCACTTCAGCAGAAATATGCTGTAGAAAAAATGAAGTATGATGAATGTTCAGCTCGACTGGCTCAAGCTACCACCCATACCTACATGAAAACGATAAAATTAAAGATGTTGATGACAGCGATTAGGACACTATGATGATGACACTAGTTGACAACGTTGACAATGACTACTCTGCTTGATATCTGCCTATATCTCCGTATCCTCTGCTGCACTGACTGCTGGCGCAGGTGCGGAAGAAACAGTCCGCTGGTAGTGATCGCGCCTCCCTCCCACGTCCCTTCCGTTTCACACCCCCAACTTGCTTCTCCCATCTCGCGCACAAATCAAAACTACAATAATGACTGACTAGTACTGATTGATGGATGAACCGGTTCCCAAGATATCTAGCTGATAAAAAAATTGCCAGTCCATTTTACCCTTTTTGTACTCACAATTATTATTGATCATCGTGCTGTCACCGTCTTCCATTTCATTTTGAAACTAACCAGGTTACTTCATTTAGTGCAGCTGATCAGCATAATTTATTACATGATTAATCATATATATATATATATATATATATAATTAGATTGTATATTTTTATCTTTCCTTACACGTATATATTTATCTTTCCTTACCTGTATCGTCTGTGTTCAATTTCTCATTCCTATTCTCCCAGTCTGACGTGCAAATATTTTTGTGAGATTTCAGCTTGCTGTCATCAGCCTTTCTGATAAAATGATTTAGAAAATGAAAAGGTGCGGTTGATTTTGCTCCTTGTACGTAATTCCATATAATGTATTTGATATCAAGGAAGTAATAATAGTTATCTCATCATTTAGTATATCTATACTTAATAATAAAAGAAACTCACTCGGAATAGCTTTCGACTGTCTGATGTTAAGTTTCCTGGGACTCCCTAAATGGTTCTTCTCAATTTGCTCATGGCTTCTGAAGAGTGAATTTTTCAACAACTTTAATTATCAAAGTTCATCTTAGCTTCAAAGTACAAATGTTAAATGTTGTCATGTATTTCACTAAGGAAAACTTGTTTTCCATTCAGTGATAATTGAATATTTTAAACTGTGTCAATCTCAGAAACAAATTTTTTCCGATTTCAATTTTCCACTTTCGAAAACAATACTGAAATCTTTTTATTTTCTTTTTTTTTTTTTGTTAAAAAAGGGTTGTAAGGGATGTTCGATGTGATATTTTGTGACCTCTTCCATATTAGTTTCTGCTATCCTTAATGATTTTCTAAAATAAGTCTTTAACACTCTCATTTTTCAATTTGTATTCTATTTAACACAGAATAAAATGCAGAAAAATATTATATTATAAAATGCAAAGTATTACGAAATCGCCAGTACAAAGTGATTTTTAATGGGAATTCATTATACAAATATAAACCTAGAAGAAGTGACAAAATATACCGCTTTAGTTTCAATCTAATGCACATATAGAATTATGGTAAAAACAAATTTGATAAAAATAAAGAAACTTTAAATGATTTTGACCACCAGCCATTATTGTTATTCATTTTCGAGACGATGTGACAACTGTCATTCGTCAGTTGAGTCGTACGGATTACAACCAAAAATGGAGACCCATCGGATACGGACCAATTTTGACTGAATGCTCCAAATCTTTGTGACTTGAAAAAAACTTTGCACAGCCAGAGTCTGTTTCGATAAGACTATATCAGAAAAAAGTTCGGAACGAAAAAAAATAAAAACGAGTGGTTTAGCTTTCATTTCATTTGCACCGTCAAATTTAAAATATTTCAACATTCTACTTCATTAGAATATCCGTGGACATTTCAATACGCACATTCAATAGAAATAAGCATTATCAGCCAACTATTAGTTGGCTCTAATTAATTTACTTTAGCTTGGATTCCAGTAGATGTAATAAATTTGCGCTTAACTTCAACTGGAATATTTCCAGTGAAATCAGAGGATAGTTATAACAAAATTGAGCATTAGTGACCGTACCATCTGATTGACCGTACAGTTAAATTAGTTTATATAAGTTATTTACTGGGACGAAAAAATTAATTATCATAATTTCATCAAGAATCGTCAGCATTGTTAGCAGCACTTTACTAACATATGTATAGCGGTATTACTAGTGAATGAGATCTACTTTTTTCAATTTTTCAACCCATTCTTCATCAGAAACTTTGAGAGAATATAAAAGGAATATTAACTTATCAAAAATATTCAAGTGCATCTGATGCTTTTATCGGGAACCTTTCCTTAATCTCGATTTATCGGGATTCTCGGTGTCAATAAAATTAACGAGTATTATTGTTAAATGCAATGGATATTGTCCTTTCTCGTAGCACTAAAAAGAAACGTTCAGCGCTGTTTATATATTATGTATATTATAAACAACGCCAGTAACACTTCCGAAAAAATTGAGAACTGGTCAGATTTAATTCAAGTAGCTACTAAAGCGTTTTTCCGAATGGATAAAATTTGCATATGAAGGATTATTTGTTCCTGAAAGAAGTCCTAGATGCAATTAAATTAGAAAAAGCAATGATATACTTATTGGCGAGTCTTCCACATCTTACGTAGTTTCTCGCATGAAACTTCCGGCTAGTGCTTCATTTTAAACCGACCCAACATCACAAAATTGTTTCATCGAGTCGTCATTTTCATTTCGCTCCTTTGTGTGATGGATGGCAGTGGGTGATACTGAACAGTGTCGGAAGGGTGACCTGTTGTTGGGGAGGTGATGGGGATGAGTAAAATATACTTTTCTCTAAATTTTTCCTGGTGGCAGTAAACACTAGGAAAGTGGTTCCTGCTATTTTGACTCGTATCTCAAACTTGGGTAATTAAACCTCTCTGGTAAAATGATTAATGCAAGAACGAAGGCAGCAGTTCGAATTCCAGTAAGGCAAATTAAATGATATAAAGTAAAAAGGGAAAGCGCAAATGACACCATATATCCCAACAAGCGATCCAGCGAAAGGATTTTGTAAAATGAATTTGGTGGGTAGGACCATACGCTTTAATGGACGGAAGGTCCTTTTAAAGTCACAAAAACAGGGTCTTCAGGACGCACTTATTGGTATGGTGCTTTCTTTTAACGCATTATAAAATGTCTAAGCATTATGTATATGACTTAAAAGAATGAGGATCTCTGGCTTTGAACAAAGATGATTACTCTTTCTTTGTTTCCATTTTCGATATCAGCGATAGTATTGATTAGTTTTCAGGTATATCGGATATATGTACCTGCTATGGTTGATGTGGTGTTTCATGTTAGCTACTCCTGCAGGTATTACATAATTTCTGTTGTTGGGAAGATCGTAAAGTCACGTCTCTTTCAAAGGTGTACTCTAGTTTAGGACGTCATCTATAGATATTGGGTGTTGTATGTTACTTATTCGTTAAAAAAAATCAAGTTTCAAGCTAATTCTGTAGAGTCTTTTCAGCTTGAACCTTAAAATGGCCTGGGATTTACGTGAAATGGCTCTTAATCTTCAGAATCTGTTGCACTACTTTGTCGTAACTGCGGGCATGAGATTGTCGAAGGTTCAACGCTTACCAGTGAAAAAAGTGTGAAAGCTATACGTTCATATAATATGACTATTTTGGGCCGCAGCCAGCTCGTTCAAGTCTTCGAAAATGCCGTCCGTACGTTTGAATTTTCTTTTTCAATTCAGCAAGTCACCATACTTATCCCTTTATTCTTGATTCCTTTAACAACACCGGCAGGTGTTTCTCGGTATTTCAGAACGTTGGTTTTGCTTACAAGTTAGTTAAACGCCTTCATCCTTAGACAGTTGAAATTTAAAGTGTATTGTGTGTAAGGGATCAGCAGACACTGTTTTTTCGAAACTTAGAAGTGAATATTTTCTCTATTCAATATATTATTTGCTAGTTTATCACTATTTTACATTTAATTTCTTGCAGCTGAAAAATTCGATGTGATAACTGCTTCAACCGCTGAATTGAGACTTGCAGGTAAGGTAAGCAAACCTTGAAACTTTGTTCCAACTTCCCATTATCAACTGATTTTTTAAAGGTGAAAAAAAGGTATTTAATGATTCTTTCATGTGAATAACCTACCAAGTGAATTTAAAAAGCTTGACATATATTACCGCCTGATGGAATGCAGGATGAAATCAGATTCCATAAATACGCTGTCCTTCCAATAGACAGTAATTGATAACTGGAACCACTGTTTCCCTGTCATTTCTTGGAACGGTTTAATTCTTTCATTTTTTTTTTTTTTTTTTTTTTTTGGGATGATCTAATAATGTGTTTACTAAGGTGTTCCACAAACATTCCTCATTGATACGATTTATCAAAAGTTCTAGTTATGTTCATACTATATCTTAATCATCATTTTCCAGTTCTTATTTTTGATTTAACGCTTAAAAAAAAAGAAATATTGTTTTGCAGCCTTTCCTAGCGGATACTTGGTGGCCGAATTATGAGTGGACTGTTTGTGTATGCCCTAGCTGTGGTTTTCATTTGGGATGGTATTACTTCTTGTTTTTGCCGTTTCGTTTCAATTTTTTTATTGACAAAAAGCTTTGGCAATTGTTAAGAAGAGTGATTTTTGAAATTCCTTATTTTTTATATTTCAGGTATTTCCAATCGGGTAATATTCAATCAAAATTACATAAATCATTCTTTGGGCTTGTGCTGGATTACTTAATCAGTGAAGAATGTAAGGATTTAAATATGCACGTTTTATGCTTTGATGAAAATGATTTTTAGGGAAAACGCATGCTGACCATGTATAAAAATCAAAAATATATCGAATATTGGAAATTAGCAATTTTTTCTATTATATTTCTATCATTATTTTTTTCAGATGTTGATTTGTTGACTTGGGTACCATAGCTTAGAAGCGAGTGACGTATGACGTCGATGTTTATTACCAGTATAGCGTAATGCAATCAGTTTGCTTTATTACTCATTAGATTTGAATGCAGTAATCTTAAAATAGTTCTATATTGCAAATTATTGCTCTTCTTATATATACACATTTTAATAGTTTGAGAAAGTAAACATACTTCCTTTTTTTGAAGTGCGCAGAAACATTATATGAAGCATAATGGAAAAGTATTTCTGCCGAATTTTAAGAAATATTTAAGTAGAGCATAACTCACTTGAAATTTTAATTATTAAATCATTCGGTTGACTTGCTTTCGTATTTTGAGACTAATTGTTTATTAAATCATTGTTGACTTGCTTTCGTATTTTGAGACTAATTGTTTATTGATGTAATATATTTTTATTATTCTACTGAATATTTTCATTATTTAAGTTCAATCTTTGTAAAAAGCAACTAATTGGTACTTTTTGCCTTTAAAAATATTATGTGTATATAAAATACAATGTTTCGTTTTTTCGAAAATGGGGATTTTGCAAATCATGCATAGCCGTCATGTTGTCAAAAGCAAAATCAAGTGCTAACTTTATGGAATGATAGACTATGAATTATTTGGGTTTTCATGTTAGTTAGGCTTCAGGTATTTGCATATTGTTGATTAACATGAATTTGTTACAAATAGGAAACATATCTGCCTTTTCTGTACCATGAACATGTGATTGCAAGATTTAAAATCAAATGATAGCATAATTCTGGGAAAAGGTATTGTCGCGAAAAATAGGATCTGATTTAAGTAGTTTATGCAGCCGAAAAGAGAGTATTTTGCTGAGAAGGCGACGTTTGACCTTGTGATGAAGGTTGGTCGGAGTTATTGAACAATGTCAGGAAAATTTAGGAAATTGGAGAAGCAGAGGAAGTGCACAATGTCCGGAACTGCTATCCCGACTAAATAGCTACCTCCTTTCATCTGTATATAGTTTACAACAGAGCGTATTGATAAAGGCTGTTCATATAGGATCATCTCTATTCTATACCGTAATAATTGCATTTTAATAATACCATTTACTGATAAGAATGAATGCCGGACAGGAAGACACAATTTCTAAACACTGAAAATAAGCTTAGTCTAAAACAAAGAAGCTGACAATGGGAAATGGATGCATAAAAGGATGTTTATATCTAATTGACGGCAGTGGTGACCTTGGTGCCTTTATATTTTTTAATCTCAACTTATGAACTTGTTTCAATTATTTGAAAGCAAATATTATGTAAAATACGTACGATTAAGAATCAGTTATCTATTGACTTTTAATTTGAACACTAGCATAGTGGATTTTCATAGATAAAAAATATCAGTCATCCTAGGTGCTGGAAAATTATTCTCATTAGTTTATGGTTATTCTGGTGTCATATGTTAGTGAATTAGTAAATAATTTAAAAGTTCAGCCAAATTCGTTTTTAAACGTAACAATTAGCTAACAATTAGTTCGCATTTTTTGAGCGGAGGCAGTCATTTCTGAGAATTTATAAAATTCCATCTACTTTAATTTTGAAATGCCAAATAGTATATCTCAGGACAAATTTCAATAAGTTCAGGCATGAAGCAGTGGTAAAGGACTTCTCGACCTAGCAGTAGTTAATGCACTGATTGATAAGACAAATCCGATTACATTTTACGGCAGCGCACACACAATTTATGTATTTGACATCGACGAACCACCACCTTATAATGTCCTCAAGTTATTTGCTGTCGATCGAAAAACTTATATCTACAATTATCAGTTAATACCACATTGCAACACATAAATAAAATGAGTTTGCATCACAAAAACCATTAGGTCCATAAAGTCATCTAGGATAATTCTGGTATTGGGAAAGGCTTCTAGTATTTACCGTGTGTACAAATTATAATATTCTGAAAGCCAGTTTTGAAGGCATTTCATATATTTCAAGGAATCCGACAAGTCCTAATTTCCAGCTCGGATGCGCTGGACAGGACGGTCATTTCGGAACGCTAACTTCGATGAATCGGACTGTTTTTAGAACTTGGAGTGAGTCTTATGAGACAGATAAGGGATTGGACTTGCTATTTTTTTGGTGATGCATCTCATATCATATATTCAATTGTAGCAAGACAAATTGTTGCCATCAACTCATTTGAAAGAATAGAAAATTATCATTGAGCTTTAAAACTGAGTAATGAGGGTGACATTTTTTAATTGGAAATATATGAGATACAGAAATTCTTGCTTGTAATGATTAGCTTTAAAATTTAAAAAGATTTCTGTTATGGGATAGGAGGAATATGCCGACTGAAGGGTCGCATTTCCAAATCAATAGCAAAAGAATTCATCAGAATGGACCAATAGAGGATTTTATAAGTTGGGAAAAGGGTTAATTTCTGAAACTTAAAATTAAGGACAATTAGGCAAGACATGTAAACTGTTGCTGATTGCGTTTACTTGATAAGATCGCAAGCTGCTGAAGTATTTTTCCTTTTTTTGCATTATCTGTTTCTATGACTTAATATTTATATATAATTAGAGAAACAGTTCTAAGAAATAGGAAATTCGAAAACCGAAGAATTTGCTCTAAATTTTGTTTAAAATTCGTTCAAAATTAGGATTTCTTCATAGTTTATTGAGGATGAAAAATGAAGCATAGATAGATTGGAGAATGATTCGTTGCTAAACGACTTTTTGTCCCTTCCCATCAGTAGATATAAAAATTCTGCATTAATTATCAGTGAACTCAGATAAATGTAGAATTCACATGAAAGTTATATGATAAAAGGTAACATTAACAAATATTTAAAAAAAAAAAAAAAAAAACATTCATTCGACAAACACAGTCAATCGATCGGTGAAAAAAGTGACTGTTTTCTAAAATACCATGCGATTCCCTTCATTAAATTGCAGTGTTAACAGGAATTTAACTAATTCCGAAGGAGTTGTAGAGCTAGTAAGGAATGACTCGAACTTACAGATTTGCGCTCCATAATATTTCTCTGCTTAAAATATATGGTGAAAAATGTAATAACAAATACAATAAAGGATAAAATTACAATAGCACAGCATAAATGACCGCATAAACTACTATCTCCACTCGTCTCTTCATTGAACACTCGTGTCGTGACAAGTTTCAAGTCTGAATGAAGCAACGCAGACAATAAGTGTTCCCTGGATTGTATTACTTTACCGACGATGTTTAAATCAAGGTGATTGGCTGAAAATATCAACAAACTTGTTTGCTATTACGAAAAAGTGCCTTTTCTGCACCAATTTAGCGAGAGTGCTGAATTCCTTCAACAAGAAATTCCAATAAAGTCTTAAACACCATTTCAGCTTTGAAAAGATCTACGCCAGACTACGTCCTTCTTAGCAACATTTACTAAATGCGAATGATAACTTTTTTCTTGCTTTTTTAAAAAGTGATTTTTTTCGACAACTAAAAGTAAATTCAGACTTCTTGAATTTGAGATATTCATTACTGGAAATGCAACATTTCTTTAATACGTTACTTGCATTGGTAAACTACAACAAAAATGGAATGGCTAACAATTAATGCAATGATCTTAACTTATACGATCTTGACGCGTCCTTCCTATTTACACTTTTTTTTCAGATTTTCTTAATAATTAAAATTTTACTAACAAGCAGTACTTAAAAAAAATTTCTTATAACTGGCCAGCTTGCTAAATATTATAAATGATAACCTTGCAGAAATGCATAAGTGGTGGCATTCCTTAGCACAAGGAATGTGATAAAATTATTTGGTGTGCCACAGAAAATAGTGCCAACCAAGACATTTTTTACTTCCACTGCACTCACCAGGTTACATTGAATAGCTGTAGCACATTCTTCATTGATCCAGCGAGCTAACGCTGCTCGAATTGTATTCACATTGATTTTAAGAATTGACGGACATTCAAAAAATTCGACATAAATCCAACGTGTGCCATTCCTTACATCATTTTGAATATACTCAAAAAAAATTAGAATAGAGTTTTCCATGCTATAAACATAGCAATAATGGTTGAGGGAAGTTGATTAAGGAATTCCCGATATGCTTATTTGCTAAGATCATGATTCTAAACAATATTTAGTGTTCGCGATACTACTTAATATCTCACCCATTTTTAAACAAAACTGCATCAGTAATGTTTTAGGAAGTTAGCTCACGACTGCTAAATATCGTCTAGGAGGAACATACAGAATTTCAAAGCAATTTGTTCAAATTTCAATTCTTGGCAAAACAAACCTGAGTGGCTCTTGTTGTAGTACAGATTATATACAACCAACTGAAGCCCAATAAAACGATTATGGGCATTAAGAGTTGAAGGATCGCGAACTTTTAACAAATTTTAAGAGGACGTAGGAGAAATGTTACGCTTTTTAGGGGCACTTTCACTATTCGATGTGGAAGGGGCGCGCATTGTAACATATTTTATGAAGAGGTGGTGAAGACAGTAACAGTAACAGCACTAGTAGCAACACTGTGTAGAGGACGATACTATATCATTAGTGATTATCTACGATTGACCGATAACACATCACTCTTACACTAATTACCCTTTTCTTTGCCAAATGCAAACAATCAACCATCTCAAATAGTCTTTAAGTTTTCTCTGAGTTTATCTGTAAGATGATACAATAAAAAAAAAGAAAAAAAAAAACTCAGCGAAACACCACAGATGACGAATTTGCAATAACGAAAAAAAAAAAAATCGTCCTCAGCAATAAATCAGTGGAACAAAAAAATCTTCAAGTTCTATAACCAGAGTTACTGTGACAAAGTGCTACTTTATAAATATCGTCAATTTGCTAAGAGAAAGCGATCTCTTAGCAAATTTCTAAATTTCTAATGATATTGCATAGCACTATAGTGAAAAACAGATCAAGAAACCAGAACTGTCGCAAAATTTACGATATATTGCGTCGCTTCACTGATAAATTTAAAGATTTGATATGAAAAAAGTTAGTAGACAACAGAGATAAAAAACCCCACCAATAAGAAATAAGACATGATATCTATTTCCCAGCTTGATGAAGCGACAATTAAGTGGTATATTCATAAGTCTCGCTAACTGTAACTGGTGCATAATCTCGTGCCATTAATGTTAAAGGACACCAACAAAAAAAGAATATTAACCCAAGCTAAGATTTCAGTAACATCCAAAAAGCTATATTCAGCATTACTAATGTGAAGGAAATGTGAACCTTTATATACATCCTAAATAAACAGTGTAAATTAATTGGTGAAACATATAAAAACCTAAATTACAAATCAAAGCCACAATCAATAACTATGCAGTAATCAATTTCGAGGAGCAAATGAACTATGCAGAATGTTGGCTTTATTTGAAAAGTTTGAAAGTACTGCGTTAATTTTAATGACTTATTCCTTCCACTTTCTCAAGCCAAATCCATAGTCTTTCCAATAGGAAGTTGGCCAGCGATTCGCGCGATTTGTTTCAAATGGTGCTGGGTAATCCTAGAAGAGTTACAATTTTTTCAAATGCAAAACTTTATGTAAATAAACTTCTTGAACAAAAGTAATGAGAAAATGTTCGAAAGTAAAGTAGAAAACTACTAATTTAACATCCTCTACGTTATTATCCAAAATCTCGTTTGGAACCAGTTAGTTAAAATTCCAAAACCAACTTCAGGAGGTCTCCATTCCAGAACAATCGGATCATCAGGGCGCACGACATGGTAATATTTCCGATAATAAGGCATAGCTGAAAATTATGTAAAATAAAACTAGTAAAAAAGTGCAACAACAACACTATAACTTTACTGAATTGCAGGAACCGACTGAGAAATAGAAGTACAAAACATTAAGATTTAAGACATCTTTTAAATGTCATAACGAACCTATAGTTTAAATGACGAGAAAAAATAACGGGAATTATAATGTCTATATAGCATACTGGAGCATTAAATAGGAAATGGCACTTTATAAGCCCTTAATTTCTCATTTTATGATGATGAGGACTATCTGCATGAGAGGAAAAATTTTTCAGCTTGATGTAGAAAACACGAATTAAGAGCTCATGGTATCTTTAAAAGTAATTAGGTTAAGCAATATCACTGCTGAATAAAATATGATGAATCTAAAGTAAACAGTGTGTTCTCAATTCCATCATCCTTAAGCAAAATTTAATTCAAAGAAATACTAACAATTATATCCCGATCCGTACTTGAAAATATCATACATGACAATAACAGTCATCGGAACAAAACAAAATACAACACCAACGAACTGAAACGACCCAATTGGAAAATTCACATTAATTATTCGACAATGTGTAAAGAGACTGTTTTATTAAAGTAAAACTATGAAATTCTCTGTAAGAAATAAAGTGTAACATCTGAGTATGATGTCTTACAAATAAATACATAAAATAAAGCAGAGATAACATATAGTAATTCGATTAAACACGTGTTTTCAAACGATTTCGGTCTTCGAAAATTTTTAAATAAAGGTTACATAAATTAAGTATCTTTGTTAAATTTTAATGTGTAAAAATATGTTTGCTTAAGAATAACTCTGAGAACTGGAAGAAGTTTGCGGAACCACCGCTCACATGACATGGTTGAGATGAAATATTTATAGCAGTTTTCGCCTGTCTAAAAAAATAAACAGAAATCTCACATGTGTAGGCCAATTATTCCATAGCCATCGAGGATATGAACGGGCAACTCGTATCATTCTTATCCATCTTGATGTCGCCATTCCTGCAACACACTACTTCTCATCAGTCAATGATCTAACTTTGCACAAGAAGTAAACTAAAAGAACTACCGAAATGAATTAAATCGAACTAAACAATTTATTTCCTTCAAATCTGTTATCCTTGCACACCATTTTCTCAGAAACCAGAGACTAAAATGCTTGCCATAACAAAACACCAACTGAGACTACACACTCCAACCAAACTCTCAATCTCTGCACACCCAACTATACAACTACCAAAGCATCTGCCTCCCCATGTCTTTGTCAATCTCTACTACACTCCTTTCCACCTTACACCTACAAATCTCACAAGTGAGTGTTGCGTGTGTGTGCTATGCTACGAGTCATGAAATTAACGGTTTCAGTCTGCAATTTGGGCAAAAATGGAAGTTAAAGGGAAGAGAATTAACTGGTCAAGTATGTTGTATTATATATAGATGGTCGAGGATATATCATTTAGCGTACGTGATGTTTTCATTTTCTTTTAAATGAAAAACTTAGGACGAAATTTCGGAAAAAGATTGTTCACTTGCTTTGCTTCTGTAACTCTTTTTAGCTGATGGTTGGACAATGAAATGATTGTTATGAATAGCATTATTTCAGGCGATTCAACTAGTCTTGTCTTGCATGGCATTTAAAAGGAATCTAACCTATTATTGATCTGATTTGCCCGAAGGTATGGAAAGTACAGGCCACGCCGCTGATATGGGAAGTGGCAAGATGAGTAGTGGAGATAGCGTACACAGCTGGAGAGATACTCTTCCAGTTTCGATGGTATCGAAAAGTGAATTGAGCGTATGGAGTGTGCTCAAAAAATGCATAGGAAAGGTAAGAGATGCTGGTTTGAACACCCCCTTTAATTTCATTTTTCAGTGATAAAAACGACGCATCATCAAATGCAGAAAATACGGATGAGATATTTAGCTGACGTGATAAATCTCTCAACCTATATTAAGTGATAACGCAACGTTAGACCTTTTCAGGACCTGACGCGAATTTCCGTCCCGGTAGTTTTTAATGAACCACTCAGTTTCCTGCAGCGCCTTGCTGAATACATGGAATATGCTGAATTACTGGAGAGAGCAAGTAAATGTGCGGATGTCACTGAAAGATTTGAGGTAAAGTGATTCGAGCCTATTTCGAAGGCGTTAACAATTCGAGGCCTTCTACTTTTCTCACGTCAAACGTCACGAAAAAAGTTAACTTTGGAAATTAGAGAGAATATGTGGGCTTTGTTTTAGTATCAAAATTAATGTATAACCATCTATCAAAATTAATGTAAGTTCATGCAAATGATGTTTTTGATAATTTTATCTGTATATTGAATGTGGGATCATGGCGCGATTAAAATCAGCGAGGTTTGTTGCAGTATGTTGCTGCGTTCATTGTTTCATCACTTTCTTGTAATTATATGCGATTATCGAAGCCATTCAATCCCTTGTGGTTTGAAACCTATGAATTAGATAGGTAAGTTTTTTATAAAATTAAATGTGAAGGTGAAAGCGAATTTTCATCATTCAATGCAATTTCATTATTAGAATTGTAGTATTGCTTTATAATCGAATATGCATAGTGTTTTAATATGTAATATCAAGTTTTTGAATACTTTTTCTGAAAAAAAAAAATATTTTAATAGGGCTTTAGTGCAATGAATTGTCGTAAAGAGCTTTAGGAATAAAAAACAAAATTTTTGTATCTATTTCTGCTTCTGTATTTTTCGGTCAGTTTTTTAATTTTTTAGGAGTGACGAAAATGGTTATCGCTTTATCGCTGAACAAGTAAGCCATCATCCGCCCAAATCTGCCTTTCACGCTGAATCGAAAAGCTATGAATTTGATGGTGTTGTTTCACCACGATTGAAATTTTGGGGAACATCTATTGAAGTACAACCGTCAGGGAGTTTTCGGCTAAAATTTTTGAAGTTTGTTCTTTTTTCCATTTTCTCTTTTTCATGTAAGTGGTATTGCTAACTTATTTCTAAAGTAATTGTTATTTTAATTCACACCTAGTTTTATTATTTCCTTTTCAGTCATAATGAAACTTATGCATGGAAAACACTGAACGTAACCATTCATAATATTGTCATGGGACAAATGTATATACAGTTGGTAACTTATTACGATATATTTTAGTACATTTACTAATTTTTTCAAACGTTTATGTTAAATAATTATCTTTATACTTCTACAAAATTAAAAAAAAAGCTTTTTTGATAATATAATTGAATATTTTTCCAGGAAGGGCATCTTCTTATACAATGTAATACAGGATTAGAGTGTAAGCTATCTTTTAAAAATAACGATAATGGACCTTCGAAACAAAACACCTTCTTCCAGGGTTTCATATCAAAGCAGTTGGTTTATAATTTTAAATTAAATTAATATATTTTGTTGTCTTATCTTTTACTCTACGAAATTTTAAGCTTGTGAAATTATAACTGATTACAGAGAAAAAGCTTTAAGAGCAATTTACGGAAATTGGACAACATTTCTTGCCACTTGTGAAATCGCTAACTTCGAGTTCCGTTACGATGATTGGTTGGAAATTGGAAGACAGTTCTTCCAAAACTGCTCTGCTGTGGTGGGTTTCATTTTTCACTCAAATCATCATTTTGTTTTTGTATGCGCATATGTTTTTGAAGTTTTTTTTTTTTATTTTTTAAAAATTTATTTAAAGGCATTATTTAAAAAGCTTTATATCATTTTACTGGAAATTATTACAGGAAGATATACCTTTAATTCAAAGATCAAAACTGATATGGAAGAGTCGTCCTCGACCTTTGAATTCATCTTCAGTATGCATTCCTTAAAAATTGAATTAATCTAAGTTACTATACAAATAATGCTGGCTCAAGTTTTTTTATAATGTAATTTTGTTTAAAGCGGTTAATATTCTAGCCAGCTTTGTTTCCAGATGTATAATTTTACTTCGTTCACGTTTCTTTTAAATGATCCATCTGGCATAACAAACTTATTACCTCCAACTGATAGTCGACGAAGACCCGACATACGCCTTTTAGAAACAGGTCAAGCAGGTTGGCATCTGTTTTTTTAGAAACTTATAGTAGCTTGGGTTTCTTTAAACATCTCATTTGCTATTTTCCCTTATGAGATTCTTTTCTTTTTTAGAAGCAGCAGAGAAAGAGAAAGAACGTTTAGAAGTTAAACAAAGACAAGCTCGCGCTTTAATGAAGAAGACAAGGGAAAAACTACCCAAGTAAATTTAAAATTATGCGAGAAAATAAAATGCAGTGCCATTCAGTAGCTACTGTCTTTTTTTTTTAAAACCAATATTGATCTGAAGTGGAAAATCTTGGATTTAATTTGCAAACACTGCTTATGGTCTCTATGCTTTTTTTTAGATGGTTTGAAAAAGTCACTTCTAAAGATCAGTTGTTGTGGATGTTCACTTACAAATATTGGAATCGTGAATACTATGACTGCGAAGATATTTACTGAAGCAAATATTTCAAATAATCTGGTGTTGGAACCGGTGAAAAGTTAATGGGTATTCATATAAGAATTCATAGTTTTGCATCTCAATGGTTGTTTAATCCATTTAGATTTGTTTTTGTTCGGTGCTTTGTAGTTAAATTTCATTTAGTGATTCGAACATATGATATTCCGTTGTCTGTTACTACTAGGTCGCTCTTTCAATTTATCTGTTTTTATAGAAATAATTTTTCATTTTCACCCAAATTCGAGCCGCTACAAATACATTTATTGTAATTTCCACGACAAACTCTAAATCTTCTTATCTGTTTTTTTTTTTTTTTTTTTTTTTTTTGAACTGGTTAGTTTTTTTTAATTTACACTGTAGAATTTCGTGGTAACTACTTTTCTGATTTCGAAATTACTTTAGACTAGAAATGGTTTATTTCAGTTCATTTCACATTTCTATATATCATTAACGTCGTCTCAAATGTTAGAATTAATGCGATGCATAGAATATCCTGTTGGAATGTTATGCAAACTGAAACTATTTTTGTCTTTTCTTTATGAAGATATTACTTTTTTTTTCTTTTTATTTTTGGTGAAACTATGATTCAAAGTTGAGTTAGACGTTTCAAAATATAGTTTTATGAATTCGGTTTTTAAATGATGACTATCTATAAGGCATGATGCAGTTCGCATTGTATTAAATCACAATTGATTCTCTTTGTTTTAGTACAGGAGCCTTACAATTATTTGCAGTAATAATTGCTTACTGATATTACGCAGTCTGAGGAAGAAGAAAGAAGTTATCTGTTATCAAACTAAGCCGCAATATTTTACGTTGAATATAGACAGTGATTGACATTTAATCATATACTTATGAAAAAGTATTTTGATTTAACTTTAAAATCATTCATGTCAACATTTGGTTAGTGAAAATTTAGACAAGGATTAAAATTGTTTATATCAACATTCGTTAATTGAATATTGATCTAAACAATTTTAATCATAGATTAAAATTGTTTATACTGACATTTGGTTAATGTTTCGGAAACGTGTTCTCTTAACACTTATTAGCATGGTTTTTGTATCGAGATTGATTTATCTCAGTAATCATAGGAACTTTAGGAGGGCTTAATTTTGAGATTGATCGCAACATCTCAAATACTTCAAGAATATCAAACCAGTTCTATGCTTCTAGTGGTTTGAATGATTCTGGAAATGATATTCTTGACAGTTTTAGCCAGGCTTTTTAATAAATTGTCTATGTTATGAGAGGAAATGTTTAGTCATTGTTTAGTAGACTGATGGTTATTCAGTAATTTAAATATAATTCAAAAAAGTTCATCTATTTTTAAGTTAAAATATTTAGGGTGGTTATTAAAGAGGTTTTTATAGTGCATAGTTTGCCCTTCCGGGATTCTTTTGCTTGTTTATTTACATGGCAATTTGTAGCATGACTCCTATTTATTGTGATTGTTTGCATTACAGTATCATTTAATGCTTGCTATAAACAATATGCAAGGGAATGATATTTATTCGATAGAATTGAATTCATTTCCCCGGTCCATCTTATTTCTTGCTTCCCCTATCCAGTTTCTCAAATACTGTTATATTTATAAAAATTTGTAAGGGAAATGTTTCTCTTTAATTTATGATAATCTTTAAAGATCTTTTTGAAATATACTTTATGATACTCTTTAAAGATAACCTATAAAACGCTGCTGAGTTGTATTTATATTTTAATTTTGTAGAAACTAAATACTTTCAGTGAGATTTCTGTGACTTTTATTAGGAGTACTTTTAGTATTCGTTTATATTTCTTTTTGCATATATTTCTTTTTTATATTCTTCTCGGACCCTTTCATGATTTGTTGCAACTTTTCACGAAGCTCATATTATAGTAAGATCCTGACATAAAAATGAATGTCCTTTGTGCAGTTTCTTATCAGGCAAAGCTCTATTGTAATAACCGAATTTGAAATCCTTTTTTTGCCGTACGTTATTTGGATATTGTAACCTGTAAAGTAGTATATGTGCTCTAAGATTAAAACTGATTTCCTATTCATAGAGTTTTTTATTGCAGAAACGAAACAAACATATTGGTTGATTATGCTTTCTTGAAAGTCATGTTTTTATTTGAAAACGTTATTTCTTCGATAACAATTTCTTCATCTTTATA